AACCCCTTTTTGATACCCAATTTGATATTTTATAGAAACCCCTTTTTTGGTACCACAATTTGATATTTTATATAAACCCNCTTTTTGATACCACAATTTAATATTTTATAGAAACCCNCTTTTTGATACCACAATTTAATATTTTAAAGAAACCCCTTTTTGATACCACAATTTAATATTTTATAGAAACCTCTTTTTGATACCACAATTTAATATTTTATAGAAACCCCTTTTTTGATACCACAATTTAATATCTTATAGAAACCCTTTTTTATACCACAATTTGATATTTTATAGAAACCCCTTTTTGATACCACAATTTAATATTTTATAGAAACCCCTTTTTGATACCACAATTTAATATTTTATAGAAACCCCTTTTTGATACCACAATTTAATATTTTATAGAAACCCCTTTTTGATACCAAAATTCGATATTTCATAAAAAAAAGATCCTTTTTAATACCACAATTTGATATTTTATAGAAACCCTTTTTGATACCACAATTTGATATTTTATAGAAACACCTTTTTGATACCACAATTTGATATTTTATAGAACCCTTTTTTTGATACCACAATTTTGATATTTTATAGAACCCTTTTTTTGATACCACAATTTAATATTTTATAGGGACACCTTTTTGATACCACAATTTAATATTTTATAGAGACCCCTTTTTGATACCACATTTGATACTTTATAGAACCCCTTTTTTGATACCACAATTTAATATTTTATAGAAACCCCTTTTTGATACCGCAATTTTATATTTTATAGAAACCCTTTTTTGATACCACAATTTTATATTTTATAGAAACTCTTTTTTATTGTAGATTCCGAGTCGGTGTTGCTAGTTAAAAATAGAAACTTTGTATACCAAATGACATCACCTAATGTATCGAATGAAGTGAATATACCGAACTCGACAATCGGCAGTGAGAAATCGGGAAGTCAGCCTTTAAGCTCTATATCACATGCTATTCAGGTACGGAAATTAAGATATTCGACTTTATATTAAGAAAAGAAAAGATTAATTCAATCTAGTGGTCTTTAGTTCCTGTCCATTCTACAGGCGAAAATCATTGACAAATTTGCAGATGTCTGTGGAGGTAAGCGCGACCACCTTGTTTGTTTTTGTGATAGTTCGATTTTTAGTGTTGAATTTTGCTCAAGAAAAAAACCACGAACCTATGTGGACTCTTTCTATTTGGACTATTCACCCCAGCCACGTGGGCGTATTCGAAACTCTATGTAGCTTCAGGCCTGCAGCCAAACATAAACGTTCGGAGGGGCAAGTAATATATCTAGAGGGACAATGGTTTATGTAGTCCGAAACATCTGTCTCTATTCCAGCCCCTGATAGATATTTTGACAGTTCTGTGAATTTTCCAAACCTCCGAAGATGCTTTTACAGCAATTGTCCAGAATTTTATCTAATTTTTTTCCAGAATTTTATCTTATTTTTTCCAGATTTTATCTTATTTTTTACAGATTTTATCTTATTTTTTACAGATTTTATCTTATTTTTTACAGAATTTTCGTTGTAAATATGACTGTACAGTTGATATGAAAGAGTCGGAAATGTTTCAAGCAAAACCACGAAAAGATGGTGAGATAATTTCTAAATATTTTATTTTTTGTGAAAATCATAGCACTTTTAGCGCTTAAACCATTTTTTGTATCTGAAATTCTGAGACATATATATTATTGTTAATTCGTTCTTAACTGTGGGGCTATCGGGTATAATGAACGAATGCGTGTGGAAATTTTGCCTCATGACATTTGCTCAAAGGGCATTTGGTCAATTTCATTGGTTAAAGCAGATATCATCAGGTTATTTTGACGAATGTTCAAGAGTTCAGTCGTTTAACCCTGCTCTGAAGTGGCTATACTAAAAATAAAAACTAATAAAAAAAAACCGAAACGAAAGTTGGATCTAATTTTAATTATGGGTCTACTGGCTGGTGATAAACTGACCATGACCTTATTATTGTGACCAATTTGCTATGTGACCAAGCTGCCATGTGACCAATTTGCCATGTGACCAATTTGCCATGTGGTCAAGTCACCTTGATCATATAAATTACCGCCACATATTATCGTGTAACCAACAAACTATGACTTTGCTTTGTGACCAATTTGCTTTGTGACCAATTTGCTTTCGGCTTTCGGACCAATTTGCTTTGTGACCAATTTGCTTTGTGACCAATTTGCCTAGTGATCAAATGTCCAATAAAAAAAATTACCGCGCCCCCATGTATTTTATCAGAATGGACGACTAAATCATGATCTCTGTATTTTTCAGTGTTTCTTACTATTGGGATACCAACTGTTCTGAGATCGAAAAGTTCCTATCTCAACAGCACACTAACCTCTCTTATATCGGCCTTGACCCCACAAGAGCATGATGAGGTTCTTATCCTCGTATTTTTGGCGGATTTTAACAAAACCGACAAATATCATCTAGCTAAGGATTTAAACAAAAGTTTTGGTAAATATATCCGCAGTGGATTAATCCGAGTGATTCAGGCACCAAAAACGTTTTACCCCAAAGATAAGATCAAGCGACTGACATACGATCAAAGTAAACGTTATGTGAATTGGCGGTCGAAGCAATGTTATGATTTCGCATACATGTTTAAATACGCTTCAAACCTTTCACAATATTATATGCAAATAGAGGATGATGTCTCGACAGGGGTGGGATTTTTAAAGAACGTGAAGAGTTATATGGACAGTCGAAAGGATTGGATTTGTTTGGAATTTTCCGAGTTGGGATTTATTGGGAAGTTATATCGCACTGAACATCTGGAGAGATTAGCCATACTGATGATGATGTTCTACTCCGAGCAACCAGTCGACGTCACATATCTGTACTTCAATCGTTTGATGGTGCAATACGGACGGAACTTACAAATACCGACTTTATTTCAACATAATGGTCTATATTCTTCTTTAAATGGTAAACTACAGCGCTTAAAAGACCGTTTTTATATCCACGACCTAAAAGTCTTAAAGGGCGATAACCCTCCAGCTGACGTATTTACCAATATGGCAGTGTACATGGATATGGGTCCCAAATTTGCGTATTCTGCATCCGATGGAATATTTTGGAGTCACGGGGCGCAGAAAAGTGGAGACACATTGACTGTGATTTTCCAAAAACCGCAGAAATTAAAACGTGTCGCAGTGTTAACAGGGGGAAAGAACGCGCCAAAAGACAAAATATACAATGGGAGAGTGGAAGTTAGTTTAACTTTACTGAATAATTCCAATTCTCATGAATGTACGAATAATATTCAAATTGGAAATTTCGTTGACGGAGTGATGGATAATGGTGACTTGGGTTCGATTGTGAAGTTTAAAGTAATGTGTGTCGTGATAACAGTGACTAAAAATATGGATCCATGGATTATTATAAGGGAGATCGCCGTGTTCACGTCATAATCCACTTCCTTTCATCTTTAGCGTCATCTTCACAATGTTATAGTATTACGAACTCCGTCTTATTCCTTGACACCATTAAGGTATTATTTTGTATATATCTATGGAGCTTAAATAAAGTTCTAAAAATGAAAGGTAGTTATTGAGGTCAAGGTATAAGGTATAAGTAATTCTTTGACTTCGTGAAGATGCAGTAGTGTACATTTAGTAAGCAATGTATATTTACGTATCCATCTGATAGAGCTCAATTTCGGCTTTGTGACCAATTTGCTTTGTGACCAATTTGCTTTGTGACCAATTTGCCTTGTGATCAAATGTCCAATAAAAAAAATTACCGCGCCCCCATGTATTTTATCAGAATGGACGACTAAATCATGATCTGTATTTTTCAGTGTTTCTTACTATTGGGATACCAACTGTTCTGAGATCGAAAAGTTCCTATCTCAACAGCACACTAACCTCTCTTATATCGGCCTTGACCCCACAAGAGCATGATGAGGTTCTTATCCTCGTATTTTTGGCGGATTTTAACAAAACCGACAAATATCATCTAGCTAAGGATTTAAACAAAAGTTTTGGTAAATATATCCGCAGTGGATTAATCCGAGTGATTCAGGCACCAAAAACGTTTTACCCCAAAGATAAGATCAAGCGAATAATTCCAATTCTCATGAATGTACGAATAATATTCAAATTGGAAATTTCGTTGACGGAGTGATGGATAATGGTGACTTGGGTTCGATTGTGAAGTTTAAAGTAATGTGTGTCGTGATAACAGTGACTAAAAATATGGATCCATGGATTATTATAAGGGAGATCGCCGTGTTCACGTCATAATCCACTTCCTTTCATCTTTAGCTATCTTAACATCCACTATACAGCTCTGTTGCATTTGTACCCCTTTTACGCTGCACAACTAGATTATTGAATTCGAACAGAAAAATCCGAGTCAGTTCGATTCGATTCGGTTCAGTTTGATTTTGCACTGCCGAGAGAAATTTATATAGATAACTTTATATTTTTAGCAAAAACGCCATGCCACAGTAGAATTGAACTAAAATATTCATCATTATAAAATATAAATATAATAATATAGTTTCACGTTTGCTCTTCCCATGCGTATTTACTTTCTTGTGATTTTCAAGCATTTCCACTGTAACGTTCCCGCCAACATGATTATATCCCTCGTTATGTTCTTATTCGGATAACTTCTTGTTTGCGGGTAGATTTTTCTATCTGGATATCTTCTGGTTATAGCCCAATAAGTGCGAAAGCGACTGGAGGTTATTCGGATAGAACTGGATAGAATCGATTTACTATTTGCAGTGCGAAAGGGGCATTAGTCTGTCGTCACTTTCAGGGAGTAAATGATATTCTCGCGTGAGGTAATGACGTCATACATAATATGTAACTGCACGCGAGGATATCAAAAAACGATGAGGAAATTGTGCTCTATCTAATCAGCTTTTACAGCAAATACCAGTATAAACAGTATACTAATTTCAGATTATTTATTAATTATATTTACTCATATCACAGAAATCTAACAATCAAGTATTTTGCCTTAAGAAATGCATTTTTCAATGTTGAATTTTATCATCGTATAATTTATGGAAATATGGACAATTGCTTCCATTGTGTGTTACTGTCCGTGTATGTTTTTTTTTTTTTTTTTGGTTTAAGTGAGTTTTTTGTTTTGTTTTTTTTTTTTTTGCTTTTTTTTATGCTCTATATTTTGTCTGTTTTCTGTGTATGTTGCGTCACGATATGGATGTAGGGTACTTTGAGTTTTTTGGAATATTTCGGACAATTGATATTTATATGTGTATGAATATGATTGGGTGCCAAACTTCTGATTATTTAGGTAATAGCTGTATTTATATATAAATCGTTTAATAATCCGACATAATCCTATCCTTTCAACTTTGTTTCTTCATAATAAACACAGTGTATAGGAGTGTCTTTTAATATTAAAGGGACAGATGCTTCATTCTTTTTGACCAATCATACTTTACTTTAGAAATAGATTTTTTAGGTAAGTCAATCAGTAATAATGTTCACAGCTCACCGTCGAAATTTAAGTCTTCAAATCCATGAGTGTCCTGAATTATCCACGTTTGAGTTTTAATTTGACGACTCGTCAATTTAAGATACTCTGTGATATATAGAAATAGTGAGTAAAATTCCTAGTTTGAGATATTTTTGAAGGATATATTTCTAGTACTTCTGGAGACTATATATCTAATATTTTCAAGACTCAAATCAACCATCCAAAATGGCGCATCTGTCCCTTTAATCTTGTTTTATCTTTTTTGATATAAGGTTATGTGACAACCATTGTTGAGAATACATGTACATTGTATGGTGATAAATGACAATTTTTATAATAAATTTTTTTTACAGCAATGATATTCCCTTGAGAGACCAAACGGAATGTAATATGTAATGAGTTTTTCGTCCAATTTTCTGCACCTAATTGGGCTAATGAAGGCTGACAAAGCCATTTAGTGTGCAATGAGAGAACTTTTCAAATTTCAAACTGTCGAGGTATATATAACGTTTACATCCTATAGCACACGGGGTCCCAGTTTATTGTCCCATCCGAACTATTAGACGCTTTTTCCAAGTCAGCCCCTCATATGCATTACTGACAGGAGGAAGCTGGGTTGAAAAACTTGACAGACCAGAGAAGCTATCTCCTGGCCGAGACTAAGTCATGACATTACTTCACAAGTTATTGATCAGGAATGACTAAGAATAGTCATATTGAAATTCCAGTTTGATTCTGTGACATCTTCCATAACTAATCATCATTATCTCATTCTAATCATTTATTAATTACCTCTTCTAATTAGAAACAAATAACATCAGACTTTAATTAATGTTTACACGCTATTTACTATTACCATAGTTCGTGTGCCTGCCATGAACGAATGAGCGAATGAATGATTTGTCCTTGTGCAATAAACTAATGAATGATTTGTCCTGCAATAAACGAGTGCATGATTTGTTCTTATGCAATCAACGAAGGAATGATTTGTTCTTATGCAATCAACGAATGAATGATTTGTCCTTGTGCAATAAATGAATAAATGATTTGTCATGCAATAAACGAAGGAATGATTTGTTCTTGTGCAATGGACGAATGAATGATTTGTCCTTGTGCAATAAACGAATAAATGATTTGTCCTTGATCAATGAACACATGAATGGTTTGTCCTTATGCAATGAATGAAAGAATGACCTGTCCTTATGCAAAAGCCGAATGAATGATTTGTCCTGCAATAAACGAATGAATGATTTGTTCTTGTTCAATGGACGAATGAATGGTTTGTCCTTGTGCACTAGCCGAATGAATGATTTGTCCTTATTCAATGAACGGATAAATGATTTGTCCTTATGCAATAAACGAAAGAATGATTTGTAATTATGCAATGAACGGATGAATGATTTGTCCTTATGCAATAAACGAAAGAATGATATGTCCTTGTGCAATAAACGGATGAATGATTTGCCCTTGGGCAATGAATGAAAGAATGACTTGTCCTTGCGCAATGAACGAATGAATGATTTATCCTTGTGCAATGAATGAAAGAATGACTTGTCCTTATGCAATAGCCGAATGAATGATTTGTCCTTATGCAATGAATGAAAGAATGACTTGTCCTTATGCAATAGCCGAATGAATGATTTGTCCTTATGCAATGAACGGAGGAATGATTTGTCCTTGGGCAATGAATGAAAGAATGACTTGTCCTTGTGCAATAAATGAAAGAATTGCTTGTACTTGTGCAATCAACGAATGAAAGATTTGTCCTTATGCAATTAACGAAAAATGATTTGTCCTTATGCAACGAATGAATGATTTGTCCTTGTGCAATGAATGAAAGAATGACATGTCCTTGATCAATGAACAAATGAATGGTTTGTCCTTATACAATGAATGAAAGAATGACTTGTCCTTATTCAATAGCCGAATGAATGATTTGTTCTTGTGCAATANACGAATGAATGCTTTGTCCTTGTTCAATGAACAAAAGAATGACTTGTCCTAGTGCTATAAATCAATGAATGATTTGTCCTTGTGCAATAAACGAATGAGTGATTTGTATTTGAATACCCCTCTCCCCGAAATATGGACCGCCTCATACCCTCCATCGACCCCAGTCGGTAGCTTGTACGATTGGATCGCAAGATGGCGAGGACGCGACTGGATCAGAAACGGAGTCAAGAAATGTCGAGGCTGAATCACAAACAGTGAGTGTAAAGGATGTCGAGGTCGATTTTGAAATACAAGCCGAACCGGATTCACAAGCGAATCATTGTGCAAATGAAAATGTTTCGAAAGTACACAAAGAAGCTGTTAGGCCTACCAAATCAAGAAGACTCAAACAGAAAAAAGATAAATCGGATTGGAGTAAACTTCCCTATGGAATAGTTTTGGAGATTTTTAGATTCCTGCATGAAAAAGACAGGATATCATTGGCACAATCTTGTAAAACGTTTTACTCGGTTTTTCATTCTCCAGTGTTATGGAGGCGGAAGTATGTTCTGTTTTCAGGTGTCAGATCAACAGAAACTGCTACAAGGTCGTGCGCGTTCATTAATAAATTTGGAAGTTATATTAAACATTTAGAGATTGAGTGCGGTCATCCGACATTACACAGCGCCCGCCCCATGTCTCTGGCGGTAGAGATGTTCCTCAACCAATTATCTCGAATTCGGGGTACGAAAATACTCTCCTTTAAAATCGATTACATGGATTTTTATCATGGCTGGCGGTTTTTCGAGATGTCAAGGTCCAGACTGATCGGAGCTTTGTGTAAATTTATACGAAAACAGAGACATCTTCAATTTCTGGATGTTTCTGGATCTCAAATCGATACTCGTGATGGGAGCAGAGTTTTAAAAGCCTTAGCAGCTTGCTATGCCCGCAACACAATAAAAACTCTTCAAATGAAAGATTTCTTTGAAATGAGATACAACGCAACCAATAATTCAAGTTTCTTGACAGCTTTAAAAAAATTCACAGCTTTGAAGGAAATTTACATTAACTTTATTTATTTGAATCCCTCCATTTTGGAAATACTAGGGAAGAAGCTAGGGAACTGTTTGGAACTGATTCGGCTTGTCGTGGACTCGTCCGAATCACAAGCTCGTACAATAACTGCTTCTGATTGGACCAGAATGCGTGAAAAATGTCCGAAATTGAAAGTAGTGTTTCACTTTTTGGGTTTATTGTCGTACAATGAATATACCAGTGCTTTGTGTCGAGGGATTCCATTGGTTGAATGTGATATACTCAGCTGGGAAGGCTATCCAAACGACCTTGAACCCGACACAGAACGCATGTCAGATATATTGCGACATGTTGCCAACAACTTTAACAAAACTCTAGGTAAGTAAAGTCCACATGGACAGACCGCCATTACACACAATTATCCTTAGTATATCCCTGTTCAGTTTGTGTACTATACTTTTCAGTCCCATTTTGAAACGCCCCATTTCCAGAACTACCCTCTGTCTACAATATAATATTAAATTTTCAACGTATTAGTCTAACGGGAACCATAAAATAAAACTACTTAAGAAATTCCAAATGAAATCATATATTGTTGGTTCGTGAAAAATATCTGCCCACCAAATCATTTACTCAAATTTTTCTATTGACTGCATGGGACCTCCTTCGCCCATAAATTCATTTCATTTCATTTGACATAATGAGCTTACAAGCTTGTAGTTTCTGTTGACTTATGTTCTTAAAGACTGTGAAAATTGACGCGTAAATCTCTCCCATCAAAATAATGAATCACCGTTCATCTTCAGAATATAATCCAGAGATATATATCACCAGGGACCAAGGGAAATAACTGTGATTACATGATTTCTGCATTGTCATCAGACCAACACAACTCGAGATGTTTGGCGCGTAATAAAGTTTAAACGTCCACTGATCGTTTTGAAAGGAGCCATTTTGAAAATTGCATTTTGACTAAATATAAACTTGTCATTCATTGGACCCTGTAAAATACCCCCTCCAGTAAGCAGTTAGCAATTCTGATCATTTTCCTGACCGCTTGCTTTACACAAGATTGACTGTACTTGCCTTATACATGTACATCGGCATTCCACAATTTTGATAATATAATTTTGTGTTTTATTCCAGCTCGATTTCGGCTGTCCATCGACCATTGTTCTAGTGAAGATAGCCTCGATCAACCGATGATTTTAATGTTACAGAAATGCTGTTATTTAACAGAGTTTACTGTTAATGCAACTCTATCTCTCGAAACAGTAGATATTCTATGTAAAATAGCTGCCGCCAGAAAACCAAAACGTAAGTAGTAAGTAGTCCAAACGACTGCTGGCGACTACCATAGCCTAGTCGGGGAACATCTAGATTTCCAACGCTGCTAGCTACTGGCATAATCTGAGAGCATCTAGATTTCCAACGACTGCTAGCGACTGACATAATCTAAAAACATATAAATTTCCAACGACTGCTAGCTACGGACATAATCTAAGAACATCTAGATTTCCAACGATTGCTAGCGACTGACATAATTCTTAGAACATATAAATTTCCAACGACTGCTTGCTACTGGCATAATCTAAGAACATCTAGATTTCCATTGACTGGTAGCTACTGACATAGTCTAAGAGCATCTAGATTTCCAACGACTGGTAGCTACTGACATAGTCTAAGAGCATCTAGATTTCCAACGTTTGCTAGCGACTGACATAATTCTGAGAACGTATAGATTTCTAACGACTGCTAGCAATTGGCATAATCTAAGAACATCTAGATTTCCAACGATTGCTAGCGACTGACATAATCTAAGAGCATCTAGATTTCCAACGATTGCGAGCGACTGACATAATTCTGAGAACATATAGATCTCCAACGACTGCTTGCTACTGGCATAATCTAAGAACATCTAGATTTCCATTGACTGGTAGCTACTGACATAATTCTTAGAACATATAGATTTCCAACGACTGCTAGCGACTGGCATAATCTAAGAGCATCTAGATTTCCATCGACTGCTAGCGACTGACATAATTCTAAGAACATCTAGATTTCCAACGACTGCTAGCGACTGACATAATTCTTAGAACATATAGATTTCCAACGACCGCTAGCGACTGGCATAATCTAAGAGCATCTAGATTTCCATCGACTGCTAGCGACTGACATAATTCTAAGAACATCTAGATTTCCATTGACTGGTAGCTACTGACATAATTCTTAGAACATATAGATTTCCAACGACTGCTAGCGACTGGCATAATCTAAGAGCATCTAGATTTCCATCGACTGCTTGTTACTGACATAATTCTAAGAACATCTAGATTTCCAACGACTGCTAGCGACTGACATAATTCTTAGAACATATAGATTTCCAACGACTGCTAGCGACTGGCATAATCTAAGAGCATCTAGATTTCCATCGACTGCTAGCGACTGACATAATTCTAAGAACATCTAGATTTCCAACGATTGCGAGCGACTGACATAATCTAAGAGCATCTAGATTTTCATTGACTGGTAGCTACTAAAATAGTCTAAGAACATCTAGATTTCCATTGACTGCTAGCGACTGACATAATCTAAGAACATCTAGATTTCCATTGACTGCTAGCGACTGACATAATCTAAGAACATCTAGATTTCCAACGATTGCGAGCGACTGACATAATCTAAGAGCATCTAGATTTCCAACGATTGCGAGCGACTGACATAATCTAAGAGCATCTAGATTTCCATTGACTGTTAGCGACTGACATAATCTAAGAACATCTAGATTTCCAACGATTGCGAGCGACTGACATAATCTAAGAGCATCTAGATTTCCATTGACTGGTAGCTACTGACATAGTCTAAGAGCATCTAGATTTCCATTGACTGCTTGCTACTGACATAATCTAAGAACATCTAGATTTCCATTGACTGCTAGCGACTGACATAATCTAAGAGCATCTAGATTTCCATTGACTGGTAGCTACTGACATAATCTAAGAGCATCTAGATTTCCAACGATTGCGAGCGACTGAACATTTGGAACTGAGAGTTCGAGGCTTATCAGCGGAAGATAACTCTCGCTTGATTCAAATAACTCAGATGTACATGAGCGAAATTCACAACCGTCAACTAGAAGTCGAGTTGGTGCCTGATCTTTTTAACACCGGAAGTATTGGTCCAGGAAGGGGGAATGGTAATTGGTGGGGCGAAAGATGGGAGGGGGAGTGATTGATATGATAAAAACCTCGTATCTGGAGGTTTTCCGGGGTTACGTCCGTGGGGATCAAAAGTTCAAAATTAGGCTACTGTCTGCAATGAGGCTCTTATTAAAACTTATTAAAATTAACTTCTAGAATTTTTTGCTTCAAAATAATCATGAAATGAATTTATAACACAATGGTTGTGACGATTTATATCAGACAAAGAGTCCAATATCTTATCTTGAATCATGTATTGAAGTTCGAACGTGAAATAATGTCGGTTTATGGTTTTTAAACAGTTTAAATCAGTAAGAAAATAAACTATGTTGCTAATTTTATCAATTGTTTTTTTTCACAACCAAAATATTAAACCAGTGAACAACTCATAGATTTGGTGATGCCTCTTATGTCTTTCAACAGATAATAACCCACAGAAGTCCATGATATCACCGTAAGCAAACAATAAAAAACAAGCAAACTTAAAAATTAAAACAAAAATAATGATTATTAAATATTAACGATAATTGTTCCAGCGGAGATGGTCTCGATCATCCGATGGTTCCCTCGTACCATAAAGCACATTTGAATCTTTTTCTGAAAATGGTAACAATCGTAAATAATGATAATTATGATAGTGGTAAATAATAATAGTAATAATGATAGTAATAATGATAACAATAATAATAATAATAATAATAATAATAATAAAAATAATAATAATAATAATAATGATGATAACAATAATAATAATAATAATAATAATAATAATGATAATAATAATAATAATAAAAATAATAATGATAACAATAATAATAATAATAATAAAAATAATAATGATAACAATAATAATAATAATGATAACAATAATAAAAATAATAATAAAAATAATAATGATAACAATAATAATAATAATGATAACAATAATAATAATAATAATAAAAATAATAATGATAACAATAATAATAATAATAATAACAATAATAATAATAATAATAATAACAATAATAATAATAATAATAATGATAACAATAATAATAATAATAATAATAATAATAATAATAAAAGTAATCATAAAAGTAAATTACGGTGGTTCGTATACGACATCATTTATTTTTTCAATTTTGAATTAAAAAAATGAAATATGATTTAAAAAATAATTTTGAATTAAAAACTTGAATTTCCACCAGTGTGTGAATTAATTTTCACCCAAGTGATAATTCAATGATATTTAATTAAAAACTTGAATTTTATTATTTTTATTATTATTATTATTATTATTATTATTTATGAAAATAATAACAACGCAAGCGCAGATACGACAACCCTATCGTAAAGAAGCGATGCGTTTTTCTATTTTCCTGGCCAGCCTGCTCATGTCGATATCTCGAAGAGTTTCTACTAAGTGGTTGGTGGAAGCTTCACTACTCAATCTCTTCCACTTGGCCAAACTTTTAAAAGCTACATCACGTGTTGTTTGGTCTCTCTTCTGACCACTGATATCAAACGCTGAAACAAATTATTATCATTTTGAAATATAATCATTTAAAGTGGAGTATGTTTCAATTGTACTTCTACAAGCAGAATTATAGATGGGTTCCCTTATTTTCATTTAGGAAAATGGAAATTTCTAATGATTATATGAATAGAAAGTAGAGGTGTTCTAATGACTTGGAAAAATACAAAATTGTCCATAATTTATAATGAGCTCATTTAGAAGAGAATAACCAGCAGAATTCCAATGAGTGACCGATCTAAAAAAAAGGTCAAAAAGTATTTTTTTGTTTATCCAGACTGTACATTCAATGGACATTTATGATTGGTTACAACTTAATTATATGCAATTTAAAGAACATAATGATATGATTAAGAATACTGGATAATTCATTAGAAACACCAATTAAACAAATAGTTTGCTTAATTTGAAACTGAAAAATAAGGCAACCCGTCTTTAACTATTTTCTTTAAGAAAAATTCTGATGCCTGTGCTAGTGTTTTCGACAGTCGGCCCGGTGTCGGCTCTCACCCCCTAATCCCTATACTAAACTTAAAAGAAAAATCAAGGATATTTTTAAAAAGTTAACATTAATAGAAAAAGATAAAAATGTAAACCAAATAGAGACATAAATTTTTGAATTCCTAATATTTCAAAGCTTTCACATATATATAATGAAGTGTGCTTTTCATCTTCAATTTAACAGTGGCGGTTCCATAATGGGAACAGAAGGTCAACGGCCGGTAATAACCAAGGTCCCGCTGGTGGAATTCTTGAGACCCAAGATGTTTACAGTGTTTACTGCCCCCAAATTTGTCTTGAGGAGAACCCTCTCAGACGCTCCATATGAAGTTTGCGCCAATGGCGCTTCCATAGAGCTGCCGCATTTTGAATTCAGTATCGACGGGTTGTGCCCAATTAAGTCTGTACCCCTAGTACCCACAGATTCGGGAGGCTGGCACCGCCACTGGTTGTTAACTTTGTTAAATATGGAAAGCCCTTCCTTGCTGATTCTCCCTTGACATTACCTTCTATGTCTTGTTTAATTAAAGCCGCATCTCTAGTCGGTCGGAATGGTAACCGTGCATACAGGACCGGCCATTTATGTCCTATACCTTTAGCTGTAATCTTACAAGCCTCGGTAAAACCATCTGAAAAATAATGAAAGAGGTGTAGTGATGCTTTACGAACTCTCCTTGAGCTCTCCATACAGTCTTATCTAAAAACACAAGAACTGTCCGATAGGACATTACTGGTTCCGATTGGAAAGGTGGCGATCTTTCCATGTGAAGTTAGATTATCTCTCTGAATTACGCTTGTCCATAATTACAATTTCCAATCAGACGTCTGTGATATTTGCCCCCCTAGAAAAATGGTTTGCACCCCTAATTGTACCTCCACTTTATTTTAACAATAATAATAATAATAACTCTTAATAGGGTGAAAATTAGGCCTGGCCTTTAGAATGCACCAAATCAATACACTTTTTCGAAAATTTTCTTGGACGCACCCTCTCAGACACATCATGAGAGGCTTGCGACTATGACGCCTCAACAGAGTTGCCGCAGAGTTTCCGTACCCCCATTCTCGAGAGGCTTGCATATGCCGTTGCCTTTAATAATGGCAGGCTATCAATTGTTCTATATTTTTGAGTGTATAGTAAAAGATTGCTCAATTCTTACCGGTGAGGTCAAATCTGCGACCCGGAGAATATCCGTCGTCGTAGAGTCTCTTCAATGTATCAGGGTGGAGTTTAATGGCTCGAATTCTCGTGATACTATCAATTTTAGATTTCAGATCTCGAATATTTTCCTCATTTTTCTCGGCATCCCTTTCTCTTCTATCGACATTCTGGCTTAAATACTCCTCGTTCTTTACGCTCCGCTCGTAAATATTCTGGAGTCTGTAAATCTCCTTCTGTGCAGCCTTTCTCTCAGTCCGAACTTTACCTAGATTGTCTTTCAAAAAATCCAGTTTTTTGTCCAGTTTGAGCATCTCCTCTTGAACCTTGTTAATGTCGGCGAGTAATTGTTTTGCTTGAGTTGGTGAATACGAGCGCTCGAAATATAAATCTTCATACAAACTTTCCTCTCGACCTTTCTTCTCTTTATAAGATTTTTCCATGTTACTTTGTTTCTCCATCAACCCCAACTCCCGTTTCCTTAAATATTTCTTTTCCTCTACGACATGACTTAGTTTCTTGCGAACATTTTTTGAGTTATACGTTTTCTGTCGCATTTGATGAACGGCGTCGCCAGCACGAAGCTGAGTTTTTCGCGCCTCTTTTGTATTTTCGAGTTTACGTTTTATAAGATTGTTAGCTGCGTCTTGAAGTTTTCTGGAATAGGCTTCATCTGCGGTTATCCAGTCTTTCAATGGAGCAGAAATGCGCGGGAAAATGGACAACACGACCTTCATGCCATACAAAATATTGTCATAATTTTTTTTATAATCCTCAAAACTGTCACCTTTATGTGTTTTCAATTGATCCTGTATTTCCTCCAGTTTTTCAAATCCTTCGTTAATTTTCCGTCTCCAGGCAACGATATTATTTTCATATTCTAAAACACACGGGATTTCCTTCCCTTGAGCCTCGGAAGCGAAACTGAGGCAATACTTGTCTACGTGGTCGTTCAGAGCTTTATATAAATAGTCTCTACATTTTTCTAACATTTCTTCAAACGACACACTTCTGTTAAGAATGGCGTCCATCTTTTTTAGCTCGTCTTTATGGGCTACTTTTAATGAAGTTCGACACCTATTTAAAAAAGCGCTAAAATCCCGACAGCTCTCGGCTCTCGTCTGCCTCCCTGTCTTCTGATGAACAAAACGAATCAAATCTTCTGTCTGCATATTGAAGGTATTTCTAGCAAATCGGAAATGTTTTTCGTTAAAATTTCGAATGTCTTTTTCAGACGCATGTATCAGCATCATGGCTTTACGTCGTTCGGATTCCAGGGATGTCGGAACGTTCAGTTTAATTTCTCGGAAGAATATGTGAGGTGTTGGCGTTCTTTTAGGCTCGGGGTGACTCGAAGGAACCCGTAACTCGGGCAACCCGACGCTGTAGCGAAATTGGTATTTTAGTGGCATTTTCGTGTGATTTGCACTTGAAGGTATTATCAAATTTCAACACAAAAGTAGGCTATAGGCACGCACTATGATCCATATTGCAAAAACCTTAGAAAAATATTACACGTTGCTTGAATTGTTCACAGAAATAACGAAAACACTTCACAATATTCTTGTACGTCGATATTCCACGGCGTTCACATTCACTTAAAGCCTGTGGTACTGAACTATAGAAACTCACGATTATAAATCTATTATGCCTTGCTTTGTTTTTAAAGGGGAGGGAGAGTAAATCACTAGGTCTATATAACCCTTACTCCTTGGGCACCGTCAATAATTGTTATTCTCAAAAGTTTATTAGCTATATCACATGGTGACCTACTACTAAACTGTAGGGTCACTATATATTATCATTTGACACTAAACTGCATATAGAGTCACTATAATATATTCCTTTCACACTAAACTGCATAAAGAGTCACTATATTATATTCATTTGACACTAAACTGCATATAGAGTCACTATATTATATTCCTTTGACACTAAACTGCATATAAAGTCACTATATTATATTTCTTTGACACTAAACTGCATATAGAGTCACTGTATTATATTCATTTGACACTAAACTGTATATAGAGTCACTATAACATATTCCTTTGACACTAAACTGTATATAGAGTCACTGTATTATATTCATTTGACACTAAACTGTATATAGAGTCACTATAATATATTCCTTTCACACTAAACTGCATAAAGAGTCACTATATTATATTCATTTGACACTTAACTGCATAAAGAGTCACTATATATATATTCCTTTGACACTAAACTGTAGTTAGATTGTATTTGTTATTCCAATATTGATTGTATTTAAAAAAAAATCACTATCCATATATACACGAATATATTCCTTGGTATTAACTTGTAGGTTTAATACCAATGTTGATTATTTTTTTAACGTAGATCACTTCATACACTTCTGTAAAACTCACTGTAGTTAGGATAGGTCGCTAGTTTGTTAAACGATCGCCAGATATACTCCCTGGGTACTTGAAGTAGTTAGCGTATAGTTGTTTTAAAGATCACTATAAAGATAGTCCTTGGGTAATATCTGTAGTACCGGTAGGTCTGGTTGGTGCTAATCCTTAATCCAATAGTTCTATCGTTGTGTTCTAAATTCAGCCAGTTTAAAATCTGAACAATAAAGGGTGTAGTTATATTAAGATCATAAACTTTTTTAACAGTTGTTGTAGAATACTGGCCTATATCACCATTGAATAAACTGAATACTTTGGCCATTCAATGATTTCTATAATAAACCTATTTAATTTGTAGATATAGATAAGTGTATGGTTTGTATTTAACTTAAAGCTATCATGAAATATAAAATACAGGTAACAACCATTAAACTATATCGTATCTCGTATCTAGGTCAGTGGCGCGACTGCAGAACTTTGGCTTGTAAGAGGTCATCGCCATTTTTTTTTTCGAATCCATTGTAGGAGGACCTTTATGGGAACGTGTTACTACGATTGTTTATTAGATGACCAGTTCCCTTTAGGAGGAGAGTATGTCCCTCAAAATCTCATTTGTCAAGTTTTGTTAACAATGTAAATTCATTCTCGGTTGTTCCATTATTGTCAATTGAGGCGGTGATGATTGGTTTATGACCTTCATTTTCAGACTTTGTGACTAATCATAAAGATATTTCATAATTGTTGTATACCACATAAATGGGTGCAAACCCCGACTTTAAAGGGATTGTAAAGACGTTTTCTAAATTTGTTATGTGTATCGAGGACGCTGGTAGCATCAAATTGTGCCATTTCAATTTTCCATCAGACGTCTGTGATCTCTGCAATTTCACTAAAAATAAGAGTTTGATGACGTCACAAATCGAAAAATATTTTATCACATAAGGCCCTTCGTAATTAATGGCGTCATCAAACGCGTAGTTTTTAATGGAATTGCGGGAACCACAAAAGTCTGGTTGAAAATTGGAATGGCGTAAATCGATGTCCCCGATACATATTTGCTTTGTTTAAAAAACCTCTTTACAATCTCTTTAAAGCGTTGTATTAAAGTCTTGTCGGTAGTCAAGTAGAGGCGGTGTATATCTATTATATTATCTATTGAATTAGTCAATAGAATTATGTTTATTTCATTGGTGGACGATTTCAGCTCATTGAGAGAAAGGACAGATAACACTATAATACTATACGTCATATCAAAGGGACACGCGAAGTCCAACTATTAGCTTTGTGTTTTCTTGGCAGAATTGGACAACTAACTAGCTTGTAGATAAATGCTGGCACGATATATCGGTATATCGATACTTGACGATACCTTTTATTCCATAAAAAGGTGTTTTTTTATAAGTGGTATTATGATATAACAATTTTTTTCACTGAAATTGTCAGAAACTTTTTTTAAGACAGTTGACGCTAACCACTTCTATCTACTATATTACCAAATATCACAGTTTAAAAGTTATGAAATAATATATATAGGAACTTTGAAGATAAAATGTTAATTTTTATCCCATCATCCCTGTGTATCGTATCGTGACCCTTGTATCGTGGCATGATTGACGATACCCAGCACCAAAATATACCAAGCTATCGTATCTTACCTAATTTACAGATTGTTAAAATGGCTTTTATTGTGCTCAGAACGAGACTTGGATACACCAAACTATCGTGTCCAACTAGCTTTTTAGATTGAGTTGTACAATGACAGTCAGTTTTCTGTGATCAGAAATGGGACTAGAGCACACTAAACTATCCTGTCCAACTTGCGAATATATTGATTGGTTTAATGACAGTTGTCTGTGGTCAGAAATTGGAGTAAAACATACCAAACTATCGTGTCCAACTAGCTTTTAGATTGATTTGTACAATGACAGTCAGTTTTCTGTGATCAGAAATGGGACTAGAGCACACTAAACTATCCTGTCCAACTTGCGAATATATTGATTGGTTTAATGACAGTTGTCTGTGGTCAGAAATTGGAATAAAACATACCAAACTATCGTGTCCAACTAGCTTTTAGATTGATTTGTACAATGACAGTCAGTTTTCTGTGATCAGAAATGGGACTAGAGCATACCAAACTATCCTGTCCAACTAGCTAATATATTGATTGGTATAATGACAGTTGTCTGTAGTCAGAATGGGAGTAAAACATACCAAACTATCGTGTCCAACTAGCTAATATATTTATTGGTATAATGACAGTTGTCTGTAGTCAGAATTAGACCAGAACATACCAAACTATTGTGTCCAACTAGCTAATATATTTATTGGTATAATGACAGTTGTCTGTTGTCAGAATGTGACTAGAACATACCAAACTATCATGTCCATCTAGCTAATATATTTATTGGTATAATGACAGTTGTCTGTAGTCAGAATGAGACCAGAACATACCAAACTATCGTGTCCATTTAGCTTATATATTCATTGGTATAATGACAGTTGTCTGTTGTCAGAATGGGACTAGAACATACTAAACTATCATGTCCAACTAGCAAATAAATTGGTCGATTTAATGACAGTTGTCTGTGGTCAGAAATGTGACTGGAGCATATCAAACTATCGTGTCCAACTAGCTAATACATTGATTGGTACAATGACAGTCATTTTTCTGTGATCAGAAATGGAACTAAAGCATATCAAAACGACTTTTTGTGCTCAGAATGAGACTTGGGAATAACAAACAATCCTGTTCAATTGCTGGCACGAAACTTGTTAGCATAGGGTGCTAGGGAGGCAGATTGATTGATACAATGACAGTTTTCTATCGTCAGATTGAGGCTAGGGCATAACAAACTATCATGCCCAACTAGATGCATAGGTTTTCAATTTAAATGACATTCTGTATTAGGAATGGGACTAAAGTAAAAATTTGTGGAACTAACTACCGGTAGCAGATTGTTTAGTACAATGGCATAAGTGCAGCCCCGACGCCAGGAGTAAATTGGTGATGAGGCTCTGAGTTTGTGAAAATTTGAAGAATAAGAAGCCCCGAGAACTCATTCCTAACGATTTTATGGTGCCAAAAACCCTATCAAAACGTCTATCTTTTTGATTTTGTACTGTAAAGACACTGTAAATTAATCAATCTCTGCTGAACTGAAGAAATTTTGCTGGGGCTTAATTCTCACTTGCTGGGGCCCAGCCCCCTTGGACCTCAACCGAACGACGGTTCTGACTTCATAATTATGGTTCTTACATGGAAATAACACACACGAACATAGCTCACAAATTATGCCAGGATAGCCACTACAGAAAACAAAGTACAAAATCTTTTATAAAATGTTTTATATCTGAATAGTTATTAATTTAAGTTTAAACAATATTTTAATAGTTCTAATCGAGTTGATGTTTAATGTCCATGGCCCGAGGCAGGATGTTCAGCCCTCCATTTGGCATAATCTTCAGGACTTAATCGGCAATGTGTGTTGTGCATTAAATTGTGTGTTCCATCACCAAATGGCATTTCCTGAAATATACAAACAAATGAATTATAATAATATTCAGGTTTTGGGAGAGGGGGAGAGTGTTTGAGGTGGGTTGATATAGAGTCAAGCAGAGTCCCCTCCATAGTACAGTTTACACTAAAGGGACAGTGCAGTATTTCTGGAGGTTGGTTTAACTTTCAAACATGGATAATAATGGATATGCATGGATTTGAAGGCTTTGAGCTGTGAACACTATTTGAACACTATTACTGGTTTCTGAATCTTGCAATAACAGTGATACTAAGCATTTTATGACGAATCTATTGAAAGGTTCTTAGATATCATTAGCGCCTTCTAACAATAAAGGAATTTAACGGACAATTGGAATGGTGGAAATTGATGCTGTCATTGTCTCCGATACACATAAAGGTTTAAATGACTTCTTTACTCTAATAACCAAAGAGACACATATCATTTAAAAGCTCAAGAAAGTCTGAAAGCCCAGAGTAAATATCTTTGCTTGAGCATATTATATTTTGATGTCTAAGTTTATCCTATAAATATATTATAATATACACCTAGAAATATTAAAACTGAACTTGAATCATGTTTTTCAGGGTTTCATGCTATGCAATCTTCAGACAACTGACCTATTTTCAGCCTGCGTCCCTACTGAAGTTAGTTAAGTAAAAGTATGGCAATAAGTGAATTAAGGGGGCCTTTTATATGGAAGCTGTAAATATTGAAAGTAAACGAATTTCTTAATAAAAAAGCATTTTACCTTTTTAGCCTTCCTTAGATGTGGATAATTGATCCACATTATGGGTTCTTCTAAATGACGGGAGGCATTGTAAGCAACCAGTAAATTCACCACAATCGAGGCAATTATACTGAATACCATCCATTGATTACGGTCTCCTTCAATGAAATAAAACAATTGGAAATGAAATGAAATGAAGTTTAACTTCCTATTTTCCTCCACCTTATTCTTTGTCTTTTATTTCAGAAAAATTCAATTTTATTTATAACAGACCGTTCTTAACAGCATGTCATTTATCTTTTAAATATAAGATTTGATAATTTTCAAAGAAATAGAATTTTCTGGTGAAAAGACCCACATTGGCCACAAATAGATCCATCTCATTGAAAATCCTTAACTGACTCAACTGACTGTAAAATTAATGAGGCAGAATACTGCTCTCTACTAGAGACTCTAGTTTCTGACAACACTGAGCTCAGACAGAATTGAAATTTTTATCTCATTACATCTTATTTAGATTGTAAAATTATATTTTATATTCCATGCTAGATTTTTTTGTCTCAGAATTTTTTCAGGTCCATAGAAATATAAGATTTTGAAATTTTACATTTGAAATAAAAACACTTCCCCTATAGAAATTTCATTAGAAACAAAACCCACAACTTCACTGCAAATTTTTCTTCCCTTACTGTAAAATCGTAAAATCATTAACCAAAAGCCAACCTTAAACTGTCAGTAGTACTTTGAAGTTTTTGTGAAATGGGATTCTTTATTTCTGCAAGGTAAGTCAAAAGTGACTTAAGTTAAGACTAAGAGTAAATATTGAAGTCAGACAGTAGGCTTGTAGTAGATTACCCACCTGGCCCTTCTCTCTCTGGTGGTTCAGAAACATTGACGATTTCAACTTGTCGTGAAGAAACTGCAGGATTCACTGGGCCTGAAAATTGTCGAAATGAAGGCTTAGTAAGTCTTGCAATTCGCAGTAATGTTCCAACCTTCGACGCCATTATTGAAGGTGACTCTGACCGGAAGTGTAAGAAAAGACCATAAGAGCATGCGCAAATACAAATATCCCATTGCCCACAGGGATGTGTTAAAATTATATCATGAACACAAGTTCGATGATTTTTTTACTATTTTCGTCCGTCTCCACTAATTTTCAGAACTGAGATATTTCGTTTGCTAGTCTCTTGCTAGAGAAGGGCAGCTGTCGTGTTATATTACGGAAGTTTGTAAATGCAGCGATTAGATTGGATTGTAAGCAAATACAGTCAATCATAGTCCTAGATTAGTAGATTACACGCGAAGCCAAATTGATTGGCACTGATTAGCTTTATTGGGTAGTCTCTGATGCCCAGACTTCTCCTGAATACAACGATATTGTGCATAGGCCTGGCTGATAAAGACTAGTATTCGGTAGCGTACGAATCAAATATTTCCTCGAGTCCCTGTGGTAACAAATTGACAACTGAAACAACCATCCGATAAATATATTTCATGAAACAATTCGAAAGAAAAATCATTTCTAGTTAGGTAATTATCTTTATTCCTTAGTAACAATCGGAAAAAAAAACCATCAACATTCTTTGAAAAGTTTTTGGAATAAAAATATTATTTAAATATTTATCGGTTAGTTTTGTCAGACATTATGCTACCGTCAACATCCGGTTTGTGAGTAATGGCGAGAGTGAAATGTGAGATCATAGCAATTAAAACAGTAAAAGTTGATAAACTTCTTTCTTTGACATCGAAATGGTGTGAAAGTTGAAGAATGGGTAATTCACAGGAAAAATTACCTCTGAGGAAATCATTGTCCGTTCCCGATACTCAGGTAAAACAAACAAATCCGCTTAATTTGTGTGTTTGTCGCACCGGTATCTTTTTGTTTCAGCAAGGGATGGTTGGCACTCCAAATAACATTGTCATTTTGTCTTAATTATCAGCTCTTAATCCTGCCAAATATCTGGCATAGTGGCAAAATACATCATAACATGCTTCCTCCAATTCCTAATAAATCTTTGTCTTGATAAGTATTGTCAGGCCCATAGCTCCAGAGGGGCAAAGGGGTGGGGATTCCCACCTGAAAACTATGACATTACTTTACTTACATTACTGCAACTAAACACCTCACACCCTCTGGATATATTACTTGCCCCTCCGAACAATTAAGTCTGGCTATGGACCTGAGTATTGTTTATCTAAAACAGGTGTTTGAGAATGCATCTAACACGACAAATTTGGACAATTTTTTTTACGACTCAAACCATTGTAAAGATGATACGAAAATCATTATCTACAAAAGTAAATTAGAAGATTACCAAGGCAACAATCCTTTACAGGGACATCCTAATTTTAGACTTATAAAGCATGTTTCAGTTTCAGGTCTTTCATAAAATAAAAATTGGCCCGAGTCGTATAAAAATATGGTCCAAGTTGTCTTGGGTCTGTGTTTTACTGATTTCGTGTTGGCTGCATGTGATGCGCCCTAACCAACTATATACATACCGGTACAGATTGTTAGTATCATATCATGAAACCTGACATCTAAATTCTTTTTATTTTTGAAAAGAATTTTACTTTTGGTTTTTTAAGATGAAAATCAAATCAGTTTAACAAAATTTTTATTGTAGAATATTGGAAATGGCGAGGAGTTTAAAAGAAACAAGGGGCGCTTGTCAAATCGTTTTTTTAAATTTGGTTCATCGAGAGATCTAACAAGGACAAAACTGACCAATGGTGATAATGTAGACAGTAATGGCTCGGATAAAGCTCAGTGGAATGTTCCATGGTCTGAGGCATTGTTTTTACCTGATTTTCCAGTGAGGGGGGATGCAGAGGAACAGGATTATGTGGTATGATGATTTTAATTATCAAATAGTCCAACTTTATGTGTTTTGTCGCTTAGTTTGAAGTAAATTTAGAAGTAGTATATCTATATTGTGTTCTTCACACTTTCAACCCTATCTTTCGTGGAGTTCAGAGTATTTGACGTTTTATTTCACTTACACTCAGGGTAACCTTCCTACTTCTATATGTATATGTTCCAACTGTCTTTGCATAATTGTTGGTACTGGTTAATCAAATTTTACTGATTGTTTTTATGTGAATCGGTAATATCTGCTTCAAAAAAGCACTTAATGTCTAGAATGTCTTTGCATTGATAAAAATTTACCCTAGACAATTTTTAGCCAATGTTGCAATTTCTGAAAAATGTTTTTGTATTACTAGGTGATAGAGATGTTGGCGAAAGGAGCGTATGGAAATGTACAGAAAGTTCAAAAAGAAGATGATAAACGATTCTATGCCATGAAAATTCTGGATAAAAAACAGATAATAGAAGAGAATGCTATTCAACAGTGTAAAGACGAAGCCGCAATTCAGTCAATGCTTGGGGATCATCCTTTTATTGTGAAAATCTACGAATATTGGCAATCAAAAGAACATCTATATATTGTATTAGATTATGTACCTCATGGTGATTTGTTCTCATTATGGACGTTTCATTCCTTATTTCCAGAACGTTTAGTTCGTATTTATATTGCTCAAATGGCCATCGTATTAGGTAGGTAGATTGTTACCTTAATTTTAGACATTTCAAAGCACAGATTGTTAAAAGAAAGCAGAAATGTGGAATTTTCTGAAATCAGGCCACGTATTCTCGAAACGATCTTAGCGCTAGAATCAATGTTAGAAGATAAGCATCGTTAGATATCCTAGCACTAAGATCTTTTTTAGAATACGTGGCCTGGTCTCTCCTTTAAAATTCATATTACTAGTAGTAATCCTGTGTGCCACAGAGTGCACGGTCAATATACAAAATATTATGGTTTGTGATTCGAAAGTACAAGTTTACTGTTTGGCATTGAAATTTGGCACTATATCAATAGCCAAACATAGGGAAAGCATTAATTTATTGAGTAAAAACTTATGAGTTTGTGTGATTCTCACTCTCTTGCGTGTATCTACATGTATACAGACAAAATTAAAAAAAGAATAACGTAATTTTTATATTTTAGTGCATGATATGTTTTAGATCAGATGATTGTATAGTGTGAATTTCTGAGTAACAACTTGATTCAAGTTCTGTTTTAATAGTACTATTTCTATTTAATATATATATTGTTATTGCCGTATTCAATAAGTTTGAGTACATCATAACTGATGTATTTAATATTGTAGATTTTTGATGTATAAGTTTTAATTCATCATATATGTTATTATTTCAGATTTTTTACACAATTCAGGCGTTATTTATCGAGATGTAAAAATGGAGAATATTCTCTTTGACCCAACAGGGAATGTTCAACTTATCGATTTCGGTCTTGCGAAATGGCTGCAGAAAACAGAGAGAACGAAAACGGTGTGTGGAACCTTACAGTATATGGCACCAGAAATCCTGGCAACTTGGCAGTATGATCATGCTGTAGATTGGTGGTCTCTAGGTATTCTCATGTACACCATGTTATGTGGAAAGGTAATGCTAGACTAGAGGTGTTTTTCTCAATATTTGGTACTGATTTTTGAAAATATTTATCTATTTTATTGTTTAAATTTAGTTAAAATGTGGTGGACATGTGAAAGACTTGTGATTAGGCCAAACTGTTTAATTAACAATTAGTACACTTTGCTTTTAATTAACACTTTTACAACACATTCAGTTTAATCAAGTAGATACTTAGATGGCATATATTAGAAATATTTTCAAATATTTAGATTAGCTATTATTTTTTCCATTGCACAAATACAAATTCGTGTGGCGTTTATATCACCATAAACGCCATTGCCTCATCACCAAAACATTAGGCGTAGTAATTTTAACAAATGACATTGTTATTCATTGACGTCATTGTATCAAATAGGCCGTCTCCAATGTAAACAATCATGTCGCGCATTTATTCAATTTTCCAGCCAACCTTTGTCCTGATATACCACCATAACCTCCATAGGATAACAGTTTATTGCTTAAGTATAAGTAACAATGTTTCTGATAATGAAAATTGTACATACTGCCACCTGAAGTAAGCTGTTAATAGGTATGATAATCAAGGATAGAGCAATGCCAAGATCCTTGATCAAAGACCATCTGGATCTTCATTCAATTATTCATTCATTTATTCCAGTACCCAGTAGATGGAGCTACAGATCATAAAGATATGTCTAAGAGATTGATGGATTGTGATTTTTTCATGCCTAGTGGAATTTCTGATCAGGCCCAGGATGTTGTTAATAGGGTAGGTATTAAGAAATGTTAAAATGATAAAGTTGTTTAGATATTTGCTTTACCAGCTGATAGACCTCATCTAGCTATTCATTAATGTGGCTTGTGATCAATTTTGCTTTCTGATTAGTTTGCCTTGTGATCAATTTGCCTTGTGTCCAATTTGTCATGTGACCAATTTGTCATGTGATCAATTTGTCATGTGATCTATTGATAAATACAAGTATGTTGTTTTCTTGTTATTCAGCTGTTAACTAAAAATCCTGTAAAACGACTGACAGATCTCGAGGTCTTTCAACATCTACCTTTCTTTGAAAATATGAATTTTACACACATAATAGAACGCAAGGTAAGATAGACATTTTGGGAAAATGATACATTTCATTTGAAGCAGACATAATAAACAATGCCAGCACTGGAGAGGGTAGAATTTTGATTGGTTAAAGCAGAAGTCATAGAGTTAGGTCAAAAGGTTGATTTGATGAATGTTCAAGTGGGCTGTTGTTAGACCCCAACTGTAGTGGCCATATTAAAGATAAAAGCTAATAAAAACGGAACGAAAGTTTGGTCTAATTTTAATTAGACTAACAACAAACTTTTCTGATTGGATGAAAAATAGAGTTTTATTCAAATTATTTACCCAATTTTAAAGAGTTTTTAAGAAATTGGCCCCAGAAAATATTATAGTAAGTTTTATGGTAGGGGTTCCAGAATACAACCAAATATCTGTCAGACTTCACTGTAATAAATTCTATATTCATTTCAGTTTTCTCCAATGGATGTAGTACCACAGGATTTTTTCCCAATGACAGGGTTAAGCTGGGCTCCGTTTGTGGCTAATTCAGAAGAGGAGAAAAATTTTCAAGGGGTAGGTAATATTTGGCTTGTTCATTTCACAGAAAAGAATTTCACGGACCACTGACCAGTCAGATATCATTGACATCAGATGGAATTTCTCTATTGATCCAAGCAGAGTTCTCTTTAGTTTCAAACATCTATTAAGATTTGTAGGAAAGACTATCTCAGAGCAGGCATCATTGATTGGCACATGAGAAAACAATTCTGACATATTTAAATTTGTTGAAAGGTGACTTACAGCTTGAATGAACTACTTTTGTAAAAAAAATTGAATATAAAGCAACCAGCATTTCTCTGTATTTTAGTTTCTGACACGAGAATTCAGTAGAAGTAAATGCATTTTGTGACACCTTGACTGTAGCTTTTGACAATCAAATTCAAGCCAGGAAGACAAAGATTTAAAGATGGGTTTCCTTATTTTTTAGTGTCCAATTAAGCAAACTATTTGATTAATTGGTGTTTCCAATTAATTATCATGTATTCTTTATCAAATCATTATGTTCTTATTGCATATGGGAGCCACGGTGGCTCAGTGAGTTAGACACTTGCTCGCTAACCTGAAGGTCCAGGGTTCAATCCCAGCATAGGTCGAGATAATACCTTTGGATTTTTCAACCCGGTTTCCCCCTGTCAGTGATGCAGGTGAGAGGTGCTGACATGGAAAAAGCTTCTAGTTGTTCGGATGGGATAATAAACCCAGGCCCCATGTGCTACTGGCTGTGCACCTTAAAGATCCCTCGACAGTTGGAAATCGAAAAAGAGCAGACTAATGCCGCTGTCATGGCAAAATTTCCCTCATTGCACCCTACATGGCGTTGCCCGTCTTCATTAGCCCACATGGTGCAGAAAAGTAGGACGTAAAACTCCATTCATTTCATTTCATTTCTTATTGCTATGATTAAGAGTTTTAACCAATCATAAATATCCATGTATGTAAAGTCTGGATTAACAAAAGAGGCTTTTTGACCTTTCTTGATATGTCACTCAATGGAATTATGCTGGTAATTCTCTTCTAATTAAACTAATTGTGAATTAATTATGGACATGTAAGACAAACTGGTATTTTTTCAAGTCATTAGAACACCTCTAGTTTCTATTCATAAAAGTATTAGCATTTTCATTTTCTTAAATGAAAATAAGGGAACCCATCAAGTTTATGAAAATTTGAATTTAATTCGGATGGTTATATCAAGCATGGTTGAGATTATGATGCGACTATTGTCACAATCTGTTTTATGTGATAAAATTCATATTCCTTTTAGCTACCTAGATCACTTTTAAAATGCAAATCAGATATTGTGGTCTGTAAGAGTCAAGTAAAAGGAATTGATGTTCATTTTTTGATACAATCTTTGTTTTTCTTTCTAGTTTGATGGTACGTGTGTTTGGAATCTACCAGATGATACTGTACCAGTGTTTGTGTGAAAGTATTATACATTTAGTCATCATTTTACAATCTGACTTGCTGGTGTATTGATTGTGTTGTTATCCTGAAAAATCACTTTACATTCATGTGATTCCTAAAATCAGGTGACAGTGTGATTATTCATGTGATCTTGAAACATCAAGTGACAATGTGATTATTCATGTGTTCTTGAAACATCAGGTGACAATGTAATTATTCATGTGATTCTGAAAATCAGGTGACAGTGTGATTATTCATGTAATCTTGAGACATCAAGTGACAATGTGATTATTCATGTGATCCTGAAACATCAGGTGACAATGTGATTATTTATGTGATCCTGAAATATCAAGTGACAATGTGATTATTCATGTGATCCTGAAACATCACTTCCCAGTGTAATTATTCACTTGATCCTAAAACATCACCTCATGTGAAGATTTCTCTCACCATGAAACATCACCTCATGTGATATTGTAACTTTTCCTGTGTTTATGAAATATCACATTATAGTGCTTTTGATTCACAGTGTGATTATTCCTGTCTTGTGACAATGGTTTTCTTCTTGTATGATAAATACAGCCATGAACCATTTGTAACAGTGTGTTTTTGTGGTTAATCAATGCAGCCCTGACTAGTTGTGTAACAGAGTGACTTCTCACATGACACAGTGTGGCGGTGATATCAATGTGCTCATGAAACATGTGACAATGAGGCTTGCTGGTTTGGCTCCTTTTGTCCATGAATATCAATGGTGAGACTTGAGCCTCTTTAACTCTCTGAAAAGGATGTGGAGTTGTCAAACCTAAATTCCAATAAAATAATATTAGCTATGTGGACTCTCTGAAAGGGATGTGGAATTGTCAAACTCAAATACCACCGTGAATACGAAGTAAAGGATATTTATGCAGACTCTTAGAAACCGATTAAACAATATAAGTTATGCAGACGGTGTGGAAGGGAAATAGAGTTGACAATCCCAGTTGAAGAATGGAATTGGGTGTTTTGTGATACCTATTAGGAAGAATCATCTTAATCAAATTGCTAGAAACATGACACAAGAGTGGACAGCTTGCTTATTCTATTCAATATATATTTAGTATACAGTTATAATGATCAGTGATATTATATAGACTAAATATTAAATATTAAAGTCTTGTTCTATGCAAATCATTTAACTTTTAAATCCATTATTATTATGTGAAAGACATTTTAGATAACTCAATTTCTTTTAACCACAAATTTTCAGCCCTATGGCCTTTATCAAGTAAAAAATAAAATCTTGAAACCACAGACATCTAATTGGTAATCAGAATGATACAAATTGATGCTATCACATGAAAATTTAGAAAATCTCTTTACAATCCCTTTAAACTGTATTTGTTTGGAGTTAGATGTAAAATATATCATAAATTTTAAGGTTAATGTGCAATGTAGATTCCACCACAATTTTATTTATTTTATTATAGATTTTATAACTTACGTATTATAATCAGGTGTGTTATCATGTGTTTTATTTAGATTATTGTGTTTTTGTGTTCTATATTGATGTGTTTGTATTTAGTAATAACCATAGTTTTAGATAATTTACCTGATCAATATCATTTGTATGTATGTTATTGTATGTGTCATGGGTATTATGTATGATGTTTTACATGTATGTATATATATATTGGAGGTATTCAAGAGTCTGTATGTGCATCAGAAACACTTATACATGCATATTAAATCAAGCAACACAATTTATTGTATGTTACTCCTTTATTTAATTTGATTTCTACTTAATTGAAAAAGAGTCAGCTGATGTTGCTGTCCTGGCAAAATTTCTCTCATTGCACACTGCAAGATGCTGCAGTCTTCATTAGCATAATAAGGTTCAGGAGAGTAGGATGTAAAACTCCATTTATTTCATTTCATTTGATCTTATCTATTAATTCCCCTTAAATATTACTTGTGTGGCTTGATATCTAACCCATGCCTGTGATTCCTTCAATTCCACAAAAATACCATTTGGCTGAACATAGCCATAAATAAACTCTTTTGAATTCCATTATGATATGTGTTTAATTCACATGTGTTCAATAATGATATCAGGTATACTTGAGCTTGTTGTGTATGTGTTTATAATGTGTGTATGTTTATAATAAATGTGTATGTGTTTATAATATGTGTATCGAGGCGTGTGTGTGTTCTTCCTCTATAGTTATGTTCATGATATGTGTTTGTGTTTATGTGTTTATAATGCGTGTCTTTGTAAATAAGAGCTGTATGTGTTTATAATATGTGTATGTGTTTATAATGTGTATCAAGACATGTGCTTCCTCTAAGGTTGTGTTTATAATATGTGTATTGAGGCGTGTGTGTGCTTCCTCCGTGGATGAGTTTATGATATGTGTTTGTGGGGGATCTGTGCGTATTCCTTTATGTATTTATATGTGTATGTGGGCAGGTGATTTTCAATCATTCTTGATATAAATGCAATTCTGGATGTTTCATTTCTTTTGTTTTCTGGGGGTGACACAACTTGCCATCCACAATCTAACGAAATTGCTATGTATCTCGTGTTCTGGGTCATATAATAATCAACAATTCTTTAAGTTCAATAAAAAAAAAATGACTATATGTGAGCAATTCTTGGATATTCATTATTAAACATTGACTAGTATCATCTTAACAGTATTTTTAATTAGTTAACTTGTAACATTTAAAGCTATTGGATCAAAATACCCCAGAACATGATTTAAAAAAAATCTCTTCAGATCATGGGTGACATGTGTAGTTACCCTCAGAGAAGAAACAAAACGAAACATCCAGACCTGTATTTCAGTCAGAGAGTAAAATATTATTATGTTTGATTATGAAGTATACGTGTCCAAACCATGCCCCCATTTGTCATACTTCCTCATTAATAACACCATGTCAAAACCCGTATTACCGAGATGCGATGGAATTTGCATATCAAGGGCGTATTTTTCATCCATGCGTTTTTCATTTATGTATGTGTTTTCAGTCTACAAGGCAACAATGAATTTTTGTGTTTTTGTTAATTGTTCAGTGCTTACAATGATCAGGATATTCTCATTAGTTTTTTAATTCCTAAGAAAGCAATATTTTGGCAGTTATCAGCTAGGTAAAGTGTTGCTGATTGGTTAAAATAAGGTGGTTGGTCATCCATTTATGACATTTACAAATTAATCGTGAAATCGTATTACATTTTAAAGGGGATATTTTCATATATAAACATTGACCATGGTCACAAGTGTTGTGTTTCATAATACTTTCAATCAAAACTCAGGAATCCTATTATTTATAAATAAGATTTTTTATCTTCAGATCAGTTGATGTAGAGCAGGGGTTTCAACCTGGAGGTAAATTATCGCCTGGGGGGTAATTTTGAAACCTGGGGCACTGCTGAGGCGCTTGTATAAGATTTAGGACACTTATATCTGATAAGAAAACAAGAAAAGGGAAAACACCAGGCCACTCATTCTCGAAACGATCTGCTGAGGCGCTTGTATAAGATTTAGGACACTTATATCTGATAAGAAAACAAGAAAAGGGAAAACACCAGGCCACTCATTCTCGAAACGATCTTAGTGCTAGGATATCCCAGGTTCTTATCTTCTAACATTGCTTCTAATACATCCTAGTGCTAAGATCGTTTCGACAATACTGATGAGGCGCTTGCATAAGATTTAGGACACTTATATCTGAAAAGAAAAGAAGAAAAACGAAAACACGAGGCCACTCATTCTCGAAAGGATCTTAGAGCTAGGATATCCCAGGTTCTTATCTTCTAACATTGCTTCTAAGACAATTTAGCGCTAAGATCGTTTCGAGAGTACGTGGCTTGATCCTTATAAAATGATTATATCTGGTGCTGAACTTAGTATTTTCTTGTAAATGGGTACGGATAATCCAGGAAAGACCAATGCCAAGAGGTTTGGACAATGACCACCTGGTAGACAGGATCCTTAATTGTGGACCTAAGTTGTTATCCTTGTAAAATATAGTTTTTTTCTTAATTTCTTTGTATTTAGATACAAATTTAATTGAAATATTTTTGTTAGACCATATTTATAGAAGTTGAGTATAAAATAATAGTATTGTACATCATCAATCATATTTAATTTAATTCATAATCATAACCACAATTTGTCTTCCAAATAAAATCATAGAAATCCCAAATCTGTTTTTTCCATATCAGCCCCTCTGCATCACTGACAGGGGGAAATCCGGTTGAAAAATTCGAAGGTATTATCTCGACCTATGCCGGGATTGAACCCTAGACCTTCAGGTTAGCGAGCAAGCGTCTAACTCGCTGAGCCACCGCGGCTCCCGCCTGTGGGTTGAAGGATCAATATAATTCCCACTAGTCGTTGGAGAAAGTTGAGCCTTTGAGATAATTCTAAATGCAAATAATTGTGCAGACATCCGCCCTCCTCAATAATTTCGCACTTAGGCCTTCCAGCTAATTACCTCGGAAGCACTGCTTCGTTACTGCTTTAAGTTTGGTTCGTCATCAATGCAATATTTTCCCCAATTTTTGCAAACTATCTTTATTATTTCAACCTGAGAAATAATTTCGAAGTACATGTACTACAATCTTGACCCCTACTCAAAGACTCAATACAAAGTCGTCCAGAATCATAGAAGGAACAAAGGATCCTGGAAGGAGAAGGTCTAAGGAGGTTTTTGTTCATATCTGATCTTTCCAGTTGGCTCAGCTGTGAAATAGTCCTGCCAACGACATTTCAACTCGTCGTGAACCTTCCCTTATAAGACCTTACTACAGACACTATCAATGCCTAAGAAGCAAAACACCATGAGCAGCTGGTGATGGGGTCCATAGATGTTAAGGTGAAGGTCTAAACAAAAGCATCATCTTTTTAGTATTCCAAATTTACTTACAAGATAGTCTTATGAATCTAGCTAGCAACTTGTTTTACCAAAGTCCCACGCTTTTGAAGTACTACCACCTTAGTTAGCGCTGAAATCCCTCTCCTGAAATCCCTCGACTGAAATTAGTTAAGCTAATAATCAAAATGCTCAATGTAAGTTTTGTAGTGTAATTTTTAACCTACTGTAAACTCGATTCGAGATCGTCTGGAAGTATTGACTGCCATCAACATTTCACTTGACATTTTTGTTTTTTCCTTTGGGGCATCTCAGGTATCCACAGTGATCCTTGGTCTCTATCGTTAATACATTCAGTACCACCTCTTCTTTAAATATAGACACCCCTGGTCCCCCCACACCCACAAAAAACAAAGTGAAAGTCACTTAATGCGTACTGATACTGCAAGAAAGATCAATATCCAGAATTTTTTTTTATTTCCCAGTACCAATCTCGAAACTAAAGCCTTCCCATTGTTCCCCTTGCAAATTTCTAATCATAATACAGAGGGTAAGAATGGTCCTTTAGAATTGACAATCAAGTGGTCCCTAATCGGCTCAGCTACATAATTATTTCTAGAAAAGCCTCCTTGTCATATATCATACCAAACATTCTCAGAAAGGGTTGCTGAGTTGAAAAGCACCAATTCGAAATCACGCTATCAGATCTGCTGCTTTCCAGTTGAGGATTAGCATGTTAGTTGAAAAACTTAAATTCACATATAAGCAATAGCTCTGAGAGTGATTTCCTGGTTCTAACCTGTGTCGTAGACTGGCATCGGATCTAAGTCCTTACATTAACTTACAACCATCTCTGCATTGTTCTAACGATAAACGCATAACGTCACAAATGGATAAACGTCACAATAAGAAGACAGGCTCACGGCGTTATGGCAGGATCCACATTTAGTTGGGTTGTGTGATGGATTTAGCGTGGATTAGTGGATTAACAAGTTGGATTCAGGAGGGAATTTGGTCACGAATGGATTCACCATCCTGGAAAAATTTACCGGATATTGCTTTGATAGAGGTATATTCATATCTTTCGGATGCAGATCGCGGAAACATGGCGCTTACCTGTCGAAATTGGTCAGATATATTCAAATCGCCGCGATTATGGCGCTCGCGATATTTTGAACTTGGTGGGTACAAGGCTGCCCACCATGGACAAATGGCAATCAAGTTTACAGAAAAATACGGTCCGTATATTAGATACCTTACCCTCTCCTGTAGTCATCCCTCAACCCATACTTGTAAAATTATACAAAAGACGATGGAGAACTTCTTAATCAACATTGAAACGGCCAAAATCATAGAATTTGAACTGGGGCGCCTTGAATTAGAAAGATTTTGGAAGTATGATAACGTGCGAGAGAAGCTGGTTGATAGTTTTGTGAGGTTTTTCCAACATCAGAAGAATATGAAAATGTTTGATATGAGTGTGGCTCAATGTCCGTTAACCATGGGCTGTAAACTACTCGAGGCCCTCGTGGCATCTTCCGGTGACACCCTCACTGACCTCTGTCTCGAAGATTTCTTCCATTCAAGGTAAGATTGGTGTTAGATTGTAACCATGCTTGACGTATTAAATTGTTTTGATACAGAAGAGGGCAGGGTGGTATTTGTACAATGCCAGTATCCTATGACCAGAATGATGGTACCAGACAGTCGATTGCTAGGCACAATAATAGATAACTGTGCACATATCAGAATCGTGATTTAGAGCATACAAAACTCTAGTGTTCAACCAGATTCCAGACAATTTTCGATACCATGGCAGCTAGCAGATTCCTTGACACAATGGTTGTTTTCTATGGTCAGAATAGGCTAGCAGATTCCTTGACACAATGGTTGTTTTCTATGGTCAGAATAGACTAGCAGATTCCTTGACACAATGGTTGTTTTCTATGGTCAGAATAGGCTAGCAGATTCCTTGACACAATGGTTGTTTTCTGTGGTTAAAATACACTAACAGATTCCTTGACACAATGGTTGTTTTCTATTGTCAGAATAGGCTAGCAGATTCCTTGACACGATGGTTGTTTTATACGGTCAGAATAGACTAGCAAATTCCTTGACACAATGGTTGTTTTCTGTGGTCAGAATAGACTAGCAGATTCCTTGACACAATTGATGTTCTCTGAGGTCAAAATAGGCTAGCAGATTCCTGGACAAAATGGTTGGTTCAGATTCCTTGACACAATGGTTGTTTTCTGTGGTCAGAATAAGCTAGCAGATTCCTTGACACAATTGATGTTCTCTGAGGTCAAAATAGGCTAGCAGATTCCTTGACACAATGGTTGTTTTCTGTGGTCAGAATAGGCTAGCAGATTCCTTGACACAATTGATGTTCTCTGAGGTCAGAATACACTAACAGATTCCTTGACACAATGGTTGTTCTTTATGGTCAGAATACACTAACAGATTCCTTGACACAATGGTTGTTTTCTGTGGTCAGAATGGGCTAGCAGATTCCTTGACACGATGGTTGTTTTATACGGTCAGAATAGACTAGCAAATTCCTTGACACAATGGTTGTTTTCTATAGTCAGAATAGGCTAGCAGATTCCTTGACACGATGGTTGTTTTCTATAGTCAGAATAGACTAGCAAATTCCTTGACACAATGGTTGTTTTCTATGGTCAGAATACACTAACAGATTCCTTGACACAATGGTTGTTTTCTATGGTCAGAATACACTAACAGATTCCTTGACACAATGGTTGTTTTCTGTGGTTAGAATACACTAACAGATTCCTTGACACAATGGTTGTTTTCTATGGTCAGAATACACTAACAGATTCCTTGACACAATGGTTGTTTTCTGTGGTTAGAATACACTAACAGATTCCTTGACACAATTGATGTTCTCTATGGTCAGAATACACTAACAGAGTCCTTGACACAATGGTTGTTTTCTGTGGCCAGAAAAGACTAGCAGATTCCATGACACGATGGTTGTTTTATACGGTCAGAATAGACTAGCAGATTCCTTGACACAATTGATGTTCTCTGAGGTCAAAATAGGCTAGCAGATTCCTCTGCATGAAAAGATAATATTTTGGGATTTTTTTTAAAATTATATGCAATAATTTTCATTTGCTGGATCTGAATGTGACTTATCATTCCCAGAATCCGCCTGTTTCGATTTTTCCAGATTGGCTGTATTTCAAGTAAAAAGATTCCGCTGTTTAATTGCTGGATTCACCAACCTTAGTTTCCTATCATTAAATTATAACTGTATATCCGAGACTATTATAGAGATCCTAACAACCAGTCTTAGTGGGAAGCTGCGAAATTTCAGTCTAAAGGTACGTGTCTGTTATCAATACATAATATGTTTTGGGTTTTTTGTCTGTGGGTAACTATGCAATTCTTCAATCGCCACAATATTGTGCACTGTGTTAGAATTTTATGTGTAAATATGTTGTATATTATGTTCATTTTGTGTAAATGTATATAACTGTATTATGTTAAATATTGTATACATATAATTGTATCCGACAAATATTGTGTATATATCGGTATGTCTTCAAATCATTTAAATATAATTGTATGTGTAAATATTGTGTATATATAATTGTATGTGTAAATATTGTGTATATAATTGTATGTGTAAAGATTTTGTATATATAATTGTATGTGTAAATATTGTGTATATGATGATATATGTAAGTATTGTGTATATTATTGTATGTGTAAATATTTTGTATATGTAATTGTATGTGTAAATATTGTGTGTATATAATTGTATGTGTAAGTTTTGTGTATATTATTGTATGTGTAAGTAGTGTGTATATATAATTGTATGTGTAAAGATTTTGTATATATAATTGTATGTGTAAATATTGTGTATATAATGATATATGTAAGTATTGTGTATATTATTGTATGTGTAAGTAGTGTGTATATATAATTGTATGTGTAAATATTTTGTATATGTAATTGTATGTGTAAATATTGTGTGTATATAATTGTATGTGTAAGTTTTGTGTATATTATTGTATGTGTAAAGACTGTGTATATATAATTGTATGTGTAAAGATTTTGTATATATAATTGTATGTGTAAGTAGTGTCTATATATAATTGTATGTGTTAGTAGTGTATATATATAATTGTATGTGTAAGTTTTGTGTATATTATTGTATGTGTAAGTAGTGTGTATATATAATTGTATGTGTAAGTAGTGTGTATATATAATTGTATGTGTAAGTATTGTGTATATATAATTGTATGTGTAAGTAGTGTGTATATATAATTGTATGTGTAAGTATTGTGTATATATAATTGTATGTGTAAGTAGTGTGTATATATAATTGTATGTGTAAGTAGTGTGTATAAATTGTATGTGTAAGTAGTGTGTATATATAATTGTATGTGTAAGTAGTGTGTATATATAATTGTATGTGTAAGTATTGTGTATATATAATTGTATGTGTAAGTATTGTGTATATTATTCTATGTGTAAGTATTGTGTATATTATTGTATGTATAAGTATTGTGTATGTTATTGTATGTGTAAAGGTTGTGTATATATTTTTAGACCCATAATACAACTTTTGCATTTTATATCTGCAGGTCTATAGAAGCGATCCACATTTCCATCACATCCCCACCCCCGTCTGGAGGAGATTCCATCAAAGCTGTCCGTGCCTGGAAGTTGACATGTGGTTCGAGAGTATTGGATCAGCCTCGGAAACAGTTCCAATTCTAGTTCCCGATATACCGTTAAAGGATATCCATATCTGGACCGGATATGACGACGATTCTGAATGGAACCTACATCGCACATTGATGCATATCGGAAACAATTTCAAACAAACTTTGCGTAAGTAGGTTAGCTGATGATATAACGTGTTGTATTGTCAACCCGTGGTATTATTCTCCACATTAGAACAACTAGATTGAAAAAGGGACACTCTGTTTTGTCGTCGATCGAAAAATATTTTTCCGCTAAAATTTATGTGAACTCTTTTATGTATCAAAATCTAGAGATCAGAGAATGTATCGCACACTGTTTAACTCTGCTATGATATAACGGTGTAACTTCTCATTCCATATCTTTAATTTTATCGCACACTGTTTAACTCAACTATAACATAATGGTGATACTTAATATTCCAGAGAGTGTATCGCTAGAACTGGACAACAACCATGAAATATTAGACGAGGCCATTAAAAATCTTATCAGTAAATGTAAGAAACTGAAAGATCTAACTATCAACGCGTTTGTAACAGTGGAAATCATCACTCAAATCTGTGAACTTCAAGAAGAGAATAAAATAAGTAAGTATATAGGCAATCCGAGCTCCAGTGATGGAATGGTCAATCACTAATATCAAGTTAGGCGCATTTTTGATCATTTTCCTTGTGGCTCTGTCGTGTGGATATTTTGATCCCAAGGTCACATTATACCTAAAGCTCACGCTCATAGCATAATAAGGAATAACCAATGACCTCCAGGTGTCACAACGCAAGGGCGAGTTTAACGGAATTGTCTTCCTTGTACGAATTTTGATTATCTTGTGGTGTATTTTGCAGAGCTGCTGATGTTTAACATGACAGCATGTGGACTGTCAGAGACAGAATGGACAGAGCTGTGTCAAATTAGAGATAAATACGAACCAATATTCAAAGAACGGAAACTCAACTTCCAGATCCGGAGCGATCTTCTTATTGATGCCCAATGACTCGTGCATTTTCCAGTCTTGGCATAAAGGAGGCGGGGGGTTGGGGTGCCAATTAAGCAATTATCACCATGGCGATTATCAGCAGTGTATGGTTGCAGATAATGACAGAGGCCATGAGTTCCAAACGCAACTCACAACCTGAGTTACATTAGATTTGAGTTCGAAACTTATGGCCGCTGTTCTTATTAGCAACCATACACAACTGATGATAGCTATGATGTGAGAATATTTCAATGGTAGTAAGGGGGAACAAAATAACTCTAGTAATTAAAACAACTAATGAAGTTTTATTATAATGATGAAAAGAAATGATTAGCAAAAAGAAATGAATAAGAATAAGTCCTTTGGGTATCATTTTTACAATTTTTTATATATAACTCCGTTCTGAGCTGCCATAAAGATATAAACATACATTGTCATATTGTTTCACTTTTTATCGAACAAAATCAAAACATGAAGAATAATAAGAAATGGAAGAAAATGTTTCATTTATTAAAAAAAATAAAAAACAAAAAAGATTGAATTTTATACCAATATTATTTATTATTTGTATTGATATATATGTGTATAGAAGAAAATAAAATTCCTCTGTCTTTACTGCTTATTAAACAAAAATATCTTCTGATGTTGATGGAAAAACCTAGTAGGTCTCGACAATATCAACAAAAACCTGAAGATCTGTGTACACTGGGAAAAGGTATTTCTCAGATCATGTTACCTAAAATCTAGATGACCCACATACTTTCTAAAAGCGCAGGAAGACATACCTTAGGTGACATATTACTAAAAGTCTTATTAAATAACACAGTATTATGGTATACAATTCACTACAATACATTCTGCAGAATCTCTAAAATGATCACAAAAATAATCACTCGGCGATATTTAGGGATGGAGATCACATATAATTGTCTTCTGTAAATAAAAGGATAGACTATTGATTTGAATGTGTGAATAGTCTTCAGAAGTACAATAAATGTAGAAAATAGCATAATTCTTTTAAAAATATCTCAAACTATGAATTTTACTCACTATCTTTATATATGTCTTTTCTATATATATGTCTTTTCTATATATATGTCTTTTCTATATATGTCTTTTCTATATATATGGCAGAATCTAAAGAAAAGACGACTCGTTCAAACGTTGATAATTCTAGACACACAAGGATTTGAAGACTCAAATTTCAACGGTGAGCTGTGAACGCTTTTACTGATTGACTTTGCTAAAAAATTCCTGTCTCTGAGACTAAGTTATGATTGGTCAAAAAATGGCACACCTTCCCTTTCAATGTGATCTCTACCCCTAAATGTTGACACAGATTATTCTTATTCTAGATGACACATATTTTGAAAAAGTGCAAGAAGACATAATACTTAGAGTGGCTGAGAGATTAGCCAAATACATTTTCCTTGACCAGTACCAAAATAATAATAAGATTGGAATATAATATATCTCAATGATTTTAGGGGGGCAGTCATATTGATTTGGAACATTTACATTGAAATTAGACATGCTATTGACATTTAGAGAGAAATGTACAACGTTAATATTTTGCACCCAACTTTCTCCCATATCACATTCTGATAACTCTGTTTGTTCCCATAGTCCACTTATAGTGAGATACACAAATCTCTTGATACAATTCATTTGGAATAAAACTTATCACTAATAATAAAATTTCAAGTCAAGGCTACTTCACCCTTTGTTAACTGAACTATTTTTAATGACCTCAATACCTATAAATAGAAATAAATAAAAATTTGACCCAACAATGACCAGACATCCATCAAAATTTAAAGGAATCCTTGACCTACCTCATCATTGTTAATTTTCATGAAATAAAGTGAATGGAGTTTACCATCCTACTTTTCTGCACTTATTTGGGCTAATGAAGACAGGCAACACCATGCAGTGTGCAATAATGGAAATTTTGTCAAGATAGTGGCATTAGCCTCCTCTTTTTTAACCTCTAGCACCCGTAAACTTCTTTAACGTATTCAACTAAAATGATAAGACCTCTGTTACTAAATAACATCATATGCTTCAAATTATTCAACTTGTAGTTCAGGCTATAAGGCAGTATATTCTATTTACACTCTGTATTAATAGGGTTAAAAAATACAAACCTTCAACTTGGCTTCTCCTGTGGCTCCACTAACTTTACATCCCATTTTATGCAGATCGCTTAGTTTTAATGGTTTTCTTCACATAATAAAAATTAAAATATTAACATGCTTATAACATTCTTGAAGAAAAGGAGATCACCAAATTACAAGGGGAGACAATCGCTCTAAATCAGATAACACTATCATGCAAAATTTTGTGCTTTGAAAGAGGGCAGTTTCTGCAGGACTGCAGCAACAAGTATTGGCTTCACAATTTTGTTTGTAAATAGAATTTTTACAATATTTATGAATTGAAATATCAGCTTCAATATAATATTAAATATTAAAAAGAAATTGCATATTGAAAATAAAGTTTTGCAAATACAAAGATAACAAAATAAAATTGGTTAAACTTACTTATTTTTCTCTTCTTTAAAATATCTCCACAAAACTTGATATACCTGAAATATTATTCTGATTAAAGGGATCATGAAGAGGTTTTCTAAAGCTTTTATGTGTATAGGGGACACTGATAGCATTGATTTGCACCATTCCAATTTTCAGTTGAACGTATGTGGTTCTTGCAATTCCACTAAAACTCAGCGTTTAATGACACCACTATCGCAAAATTTCAATTGACATATATATGACCTTTGCGATAGTCACGCCATAAAACACTTAGTTCTAAAAAGTGCTATAGATAGCAAACATTCGGTTCTGATAATATGACTTTAAGTTGACGCCTTATTTTCAAGCTTGACTGGTGTGAATAGTATTGGCAACGATACCCCTACATACTATTCCCGTTATATCATCTTATACTAGTCACTCATTGAACAGGAGTGAAGAAGATTACTTACAGAATTAACATCAGCTAGTTTCACTCGACCTCGAACCAACTCAGATACTGACTGAAATTCATCATCACTGACCTCAACAAACTCTTTAGATTGGCTTCGTAATTCACTCGCACTTAACTCTTCTACAAAATTAACATAAAAACATGTATGAGACTTCTATAGTTTATTTCATTATCTATCTATTATTTCTGTCACTATCAAAGGTATATTAACTCTCAGAATGAATTGTACTCACCTGGAGGGGCTGCCTTGCTGCTGTTTGAACTACACGCCTGCTCTTGATTCTGACCTGCCACATTATCTGAGGTCTGGTTAACCTGATCTATATCAAAATTTAAAAGACTGGATAACTCTGACAAGTCTGGTGGTGGTTCTGATCCCTGAAAACATGAAACTAGTAAGAGCTGGGAATTGATGGTGTGGTTATTTAGGACGTTTCTGTAATTCAAGAAGAACTTGATCAGATTATGACATCAAAATAGCAAATACCATTTGGCTTCATGCAAAATAGAAACTATAAGTGTCTCGGAAAGACATTTAAAGGCAAAAAAATCTAATTGACCTCTTTAAGATAGTCATATAACTGATTTATTTATAAACAAAAAAAAGTAATCAAATAAACACAAGGAGTCGAGGACTCTTATGAAAGGGAAATTGAAAGGGATGATAAGTAGCCAAACCTAACTACAAAATAAACATGACAAGTTACGTTGACTCTCTGACAGAGATGTTGACTAATACACTATGACAGTATCTTCAGTTATTTAATTGTAGTCAAACAAGGTGTGATATATGTATAGATTTGTGATTTAAATGAAACTTTATTCATAACATGACAGCATGCATCTTGATTATGGGCACAGCCATATTAAACAGGGACATTACTTTTCATACATATACAACCACATCATTGGACACTACAAGATGAAAGCCTACCAACCTCCACCCCAGTTTGGTCTGAGAGTTTCTGTACCATTTGACATGCTGATAATAACTGACTTCTAAAATAGTCCATAGCTTCCTACAAATATCCAATAAATATAATTAAAAGGGAAGTATGTGTCAGCTTCACAAGAATAAGAACTGATAAAATATCGTGTCACTCTGTTTTAGACTATTAAATAGATATTACAAAATATACCATGTAAAACATTTTAAACAAAGTCCCATTTGTGTATTTGTAAACATCAAATACCATTATTTTATAGACATACAGAAAAAATAGCAAACAGTTTCATGGGTCAAAAAATCATTATGGTCAGGAAGCAGTTCTTAACTTTTAAAGGGTTGTCAAGAGGTTTACTAAATTTCTAAATTTTGTATGTGTATCGGAGACACTGATAGCATCAATTTGCACCATACCAACATTCAATCAGCTGTCTGTGGTTCCTGCAATTCCACTTCTGATGTCACTGATTTCAAAATATGCTTTATCACATAAGGCCCTTCACTATTAGTGACATCATCTAACACTTAGTTTTAGTGGAATTGCAGGAACCACAGATGTCTGTTTTAAAATTGGAATGGTGTAAATTGATGCTATCAGTATCCCTGATACACATTAAAAATTCAGAAAACCTCTTTACATTCTCTTTATATTTGACAATGGAAAACCTGTTTGAATTAAGATTTATTAGGAAATAATGTTAGTAGATGATGGACTAGTATAAGAAATAAAATATATCCTACTTTTTGTGTTTTCTGTATTTCTAAGGCATCCTGAGATATTGATGAAAATTCTTTTTTAATATTTGAAATTTTTTCCAACATTTTCACTGGGTTTGGAGTCTAAAAGTAAAAAAATATAGTCAATCACAAAAAATTCATTCAGAATCTAAATTAGAATCACTCAAGGATATCTGTAGCAAATCTATTTTGGACAAGGTTAGCCCAAAAGCAAAATATATCAACTGAGACTTCTTTGTGTTTCATACATTCAAGAATCAACATCTTAAAGTTCTTGAATTGACATTGTTATTTATATAATAAATCTTCCTGTCAACATAATTATACCTAGACACATCATTGATTTAAAACAGAGACTTTTTCTTATTTCACCAGTATTGTTCCGTAAGAAATGATAAACCTTACTAGCTAGACTTAAGTCATATAATGCAACCTTGAAACATCTTTCTGGTACCGGTATAAAAGTCTTTTACACTGCCAAACAAAGTACCCTGAAAGTATGTGATCTTACCATGAAAGTATGTGATCTTACAATGAAAGTATGTGATCTTACCTGTCCATTGGTACTGGAATTCTCCAACTCAAATTCTACTTTTCTAGACAAGTAATTCAAATCAGAATCAGCTTTCTGAAACTAAAAATATATATCATCATGAATAGAAATATTAAAACAGAACTTAAAAAACCTGTTGTTGTTACTCAGAGTTTCACGCTATGCGATCTTCAAACAACTGACCTACATATAATTCAGCCTGCACCCCTACAGAAGTTGGACAAGTAGAACTTATTCTCATGTCTACACTTTGAGACGAGTTCGGAACGTTTGTTTTAAAGAAGTGTTCTACAATTGATGTATTGACCACTATTTTAGCAGTGAGAATTTTTCGTTATTATCATTATTAATATATTGAATCTGCTATAGCCTATGAGAAGGTCTACAGTATTCTGAACTTCAGCAAAAATGTAAGACAATGAAGGCAAAGTTTAAAGACTGACTTAACCGCCTGGATACATAATATTAATATAATACATTATATCGGTACAGACACAGCTCAGGCCCCACCCCACTCATTTTGTCTTTTAAAAGCTGGGGGAATATATGGCATTAAATAGAGTGAACTATCTATTATTTTGAGTTTTAGGGAAGGAAGTCGACATATCTTCGAAACAAATCTATTTATGATGTCATAGCAAGTAAATATTCAAAGAAAATAGACAAAATTCTTGCCATCGCCTCTAAAGCTTCCACAGATTTCTCCATTTTGATTATTTTGTCAACAAAACAACTTCCTTTACAGGTAACAAGATTTCTGATTGGTTGCAATTCAATAAGGCTGTAGTTAATTTATCATCTTTATTATGATTGGGCTATTAGATTTCATATCAACCAATCAAACATCAAATACTCCGCGCCATCTTTGAATTATTTTGGTGGAAAATTTAACGCGATTTGTTTACAATATCAACGTTTTTTACTGTTTGAAATTGAAAATGTATTCTGTAAGTAAGGTTAAGTTTTTGTTAGTTTGTGATCGTCACTGTCATGGTGCTAAAGAAGATAATGTTGATGACTGTTCTGTTTGATCAGAGTGATAGATACGTCGGGCGTGTCAGATTGCAATTATGTTTAGTCTTAGTGAGTCGATTAAGGGGCAATGTGATACCTTTAATTTATCACACCTTTGACCAATTTCATCGAGTAGGAGTAAGGTTGTAGAGTAGACCAGTCAGCAGTTGACTGACAATGGAATAATGAAAAGCCCTAGGAAATAAAACTTGAAACACCCATGATGTCAATTGGAATTGAATTCTTGGCAAGCCGCAAAGGCCTAGGAAGATTATTAGACAGAAGTTTTTCTGATATTTTAGGATTGAGACACTTCTTTGGATCTGAACCTATCACTCATTCTATTATATGTCACTTTTGTTAGTCTTTATGTTGGCCTCAAGCAATCTTAAAACTTTGTACGAGGACGTTGAAAGATTTCGGAGCTGATTCCTGGCCCTGTACCGTACCAGTGCTCGAAGTAAGGGTTGACATATCTTGGCTGATTTTATCATGATAATTTTTTTCAGTGTCTCTTGATCGATGAGACGAAGGTGAAGTAACCATGGCAACTCAATCTGATTTAATAAATAGTAGTAGTAATTATAATCATTTAGATACAAATAAAAGGTATGTATTACTATTTATAAGTATATTATAAGTATAAGATTACCAACAGAGAGCTCTATTAGCTCAGACATTAAAGATGGGTTCCCTTATTTTCATTTATTAATTTGACACTAAGATATAAGGAAAACCATCTTTAAAGAGTAATTATGGTCATATGAGCATACTTGATATTTAAAAGAATATTATTCTGGCTAGAAAAAGAAGTAAATGGGGTAAATGGAAATGACTTCCAAAGCAATTAAATGGTAAAATTTCTTCAGCTTCAGGGGGCGTTGAACCTCCCCTATGGGATCCCTGGAATAAGAATATAACTTCTTGATAGCTCAATTTAAGACATCATTAACATTTTTGCAAAATTAAAATATGACTTCTCGTTCCTCAGTTCTATGATGATCTCATTTGCAGATATTACTTACATCATGACAATATTGGTTGGTTGTATCTGCATTGAGAATGGTCATAAAAATCTGCCATATTTACTTACTGAAAGTGATCATGATATTGGGGAGAGCAGAATCAAATCATGTTACATCCAGTGCGTGTGCAAACCTGTAATTGGGAATAAAAACCAGATATCTTTGATCTATGTTTTAATGAGATCGGTGAATAATTTTCCAGAACAAGAATGTGTATGTGTAGTAGTCAAAATGTCCGCTATGTTAAAAAAGCGCAGAGAAGAGTCTCCCGAGGGTCCACTTTATTGTAAGGCTTCTTTTGATGTTGAATGTAACAATCTCACCTTGTTTATTTTGTGGTTTCAAAAGAATTTTTCTAATCTTTGTGTGTATACATGTTTTTTGATTTTCACTGTACAGTGTTGCACAGTTCATCATAGCACTATTTTGGTACCTGTATTTTCACTCTAAAATATTTTTGTTAATAACCATAGTTACCGGTATTGGATATATTGGAATTGACATCATTTAAGGTTTATGTCAATAACTTAATTAAAACAAGTGAACCTTGATTCTTTTTTTTTTTTTAAATTGACAATCCAGAGATGCTTTGATTTTAGCCACAATATTTTCATAGAAAAAGTCAAAGAATTGATGTGAAGAATTGAAGTGAAGTTATTCCTGTGCAAAGTTTTAAAAAAAAGTAACATAACCCCATGTTTATAAGATTATAAAGATTTTCTAAACTTTTCATGTCTATTTGAGACAGTGATTGCATTGATTTAATATTATTATTTTGTTTCAGTAATAATATTTTAACCACACCTGAGTTTGAGGGAGTAGGTTACGCCCCAACCTTTGATAGATTATTAGTTTATAGTCAAGATAAAGTCAAGAGTGAAAATATGACAGCTTTAATAGCCTGGTGTCAAGATAAAGTCATCTGTGTAAGTATCAAATTAATGGATCGTCCTATATAGATTCTATTCTTAAGTAATGGCACCTGGTAAGTCCAATTGATTAATATATACACTTATTGACCAAGTTTGAGACTTTATTTTTTTTCTAGCTAAAAGAACAGTCTGGCCTATTCGTGACTCCTTAAATGGCATTTAACAATTGAGTATGATATATAGACACAGCTTTATGGAACAACAATCACTGGTTTCAAGTTTTATACACTTTTTGACATGTTTCCCTGGTCGTGCTTAGGCTCATGATTGCCTCTCACTTTCTATCATTATTTGATAATTAGAAATTTACCCTCCATTTTGAAACTGTCCTCAACAGAATGAAATGAATTTTTACGTGCCACGTTTTAATTAGGACTTTTGTGAACGCCATAGAGGCCACAATTGTTTTGTGATATTTTTTAAATTTTGTGTTTAGGTTTGTATTCTAAAGGTCATGGACAAGTTCGAATTTGAGTATGATTCAACAAATATTAACAAAGTTTTAATCTAATGTTAAATTAGTTTTTTTGCTCCATTAATATTGTCAAAGTATCAATTCTTGATAACTTGAAATGTTGAACACTGGGAGGAAAGATGTAGTCCCAATTGACACAAACTCTCTCTTTGAATTATATTCTAGTGTTGGTGTAAGGTAAGAGAATATTGGGCTGTAGGAGATTATAAGAAACAACTTGAAGAAAAGGAGAGACAAGTCGAAATTCTCGAGAGAAAACTACGAGAGGCTGAAAAGGTATAATATTCATTATTTTTGCTAATCTAGGGTGACAATGATTCTTATCATATGATATGATTTTTACTAAAATTCATTTCTTATGCTGGGGCACACAAACAATCTTTGATATTTGTAGCTGACTTGACTCTTGTCTCCAGTCAATTGTTTTTTGCCTCGGTGATACTCTGTGAAGTCTTGCCTTCTATGTGAGTGCAATCACACAGGAAATTTTACTCCAGTCTGTGACAAAATTTCACATAAAAACTGTCTGTGTGCCCAAACCTTACATAGATATTTTGCTGAAGACATTCAAATTGAAATCTGAAAATTGGCTTTATTCTTTCATATTAGTAAAAGAGAATCGAAATTTCTCAATCAACCAAACACCAACAAATTATTCCAGATTATATAAAATACATCACTGGAAATACACTAATATTTTTTTCTTGTAGAAAATTGAGGAAGCATCAATATGTACAGAATCAAATTTATCACTTCCTGTATCGCAACCACCGTTATCTCCCTTTCACTCGAGCTCTGTTGACCCTACCACCCCTCAACCTCTTATAGTACCAGATATATCAAATCCTGTTACATCTCTACCACTTGCTTCAGTTGAACTCCCTTCGGTTTGTTTCCCAGTCCCTATTGTCAGTGTTCCAGTGGCCCCACCCCCTCAAGCTGGTGCTCCCCCACCTCCTCCACCTTCAGCTGGTGCCCTCCCACCTCCACCCCCACCCCCTCCAGCCATAAAAACACCAACGTCAACGAAATTGATCATCAACAAGAAACAGAATGGTAATCTAAAGGTAAGATGCCATGCAGAATTTTAGTTGATTTTATGGTATTTTCTCTGACAATTTCAAGCTATTAAGAATTTTGTACCTTTACCTTGACTGTAATAGCCACTTTTCTTGTATCATGGAATGCAGCGATTTGGGGCTCAGGGGCCTTTTATAATCTAAAACTATCCACCTTGTCAAATAGTACCATTGATATCTTATATAAATTTTCAATTTGTTAACTGTTGTAAAGTTTTTCTTGGACTACCATTACTATTTTGAAGCTGATATTCCAAATTAGATGGTGATGATAACATAGTCTCATGAAAGCACTGGCCTAGGTCACAAAGTAAAGATTTATGATAAAACAAGGTGTAAGTTAAAGATTTTAGTATATGTATAAAATCATATAAAATAATTACTAAGAATGTCAAATTCAATATTTTTTTCCAGCTAAAAGAACAGACTGGCCTATTCGTGACTCCGGAAGCTTTGAAAGGAATTCGATTACGTAAAACAGATAACAATCAGAAAAACACAACAGAATCAGTGAGTTTAACTTTTCTAATCAATTCAGAATCTTAACAAAACTACAGATAGCATTGAAGTGAATCTTATTGATGGATTTAGGTGATCACAATATGGCCAGTGTTCGGAAGTAAAAAGCTTCTGGAGGGGTGTGGTGCGGAAATGGTGTTTATTATCAATTCTGCCAAAATTTTTTTGTCAAATATGATGTGATCATCTTATCGTAAATTTATTATTTAATTTGTGTAAATTATATTGCCAATTTATAGCAGTCTTCATAGAGATCAGAGGAAAATGGTGACAGGAAGCTGAACATTTGAACCAACTTAAGATTATGAAATTGTTTGGCAGTTTTATTATCAAATCAGATGACTACCGTATTTTTTAAAGTCTTGAGAATAAGACAGCTGGTTATTGAATCAATAATGAACAATCTGTGTGTATAATTGATAGTTTGTGTGTATAATTGATAGTTTGCGTGTATAATTGATAGTTTACATGTATAATTGATAGTTTGCGTGTATAATTGATAGTTTGCGTGTATAATTGATAGTTTGCATGTATAATTGATAGTTTGTGTGTATATATTTCAGTCGACACCAAGTGGACTAGTGACTTTAGAACAGTTAAAAACAGTGAACCTACGTAGAACTCAATCAGCTAGATCTATTAGTGATGTTGGTAAAGAAAACATACATCAAATGTACGTATTATATTATGTGTCTCAAGCCATTGAATTCAAGTTTCTGATGAGACTTCTGATGTTAGTTTTCCATTCTTAAGTTAAGAACCCTATTGCTTTGGAGGGAAAGAAAGGGTGGATGTCGACATAATGACATAAGACTTGAACAGTATTTAGAAGTGAGGAGTTCATATCACAAACACAAGACAATATTATATAATAAACACACTTTTTTAATAAAGACATATGTATGTTCTACAATAATAATTCATATTTATTTACATAAAATCAGTCAAAAAAGACAACGGTCCAGATTACCTTAAATGCTCCAAGAACAATGAACCAGTGATGGATTACAAAAAAAAAAATAAAGAATTTTCTTGAGTAGCAAAAATGAAAATCCACTCATTTATTTACCTCAAGTCAGCTTACTTATATGCTGAAAATGTGGCTGACTTTATTAAAACACAAAGTAGTGCTCTATTCCATCCTCTGATAGCTATTTGGACAGTTGTCAGCTGGTGTAGAGACAGAAAAAATAGGCCTTATTAAATGAGAACATTCTGAATCTCAAATGCTGGACATCTGACATTATTTTTATTTTGTTCATATCGGTATATTACCACCATGATTCATATTTTGTCCTTATAGATTGGCTCAGGAGATGTTAAATAGACGTGCACTGAAAAAAACTACCATCAAAAGGTCAGAATTATAATTAAATAGCTTTAAACATTTACTGTGCTACATATTTTCACCTTATATTCTAAAAATTCCATTATTCTTAAAAAAAACAAAAAAATTAGGCTAATGCTGCTGTCCTATCCTGTTCAACAAGTTATTGCCATTCTTTGTTAGCCTAATTAAGAGGAAAAATATTGTTACAGTTGACGAAAACAAAGTTCATTTCTTTAAACTATTATTTAGAAAGATGCTTATAGAAAAATATTTTTTCATCATTACAAACTAACAACAGGATTTTTTAAGTTAAAATTTTCAGACAAGATAAAGGCTAAATATATTTCGATTTTGGTCCATAGTTTCCGTTATTCGAGCAACGAACTTTCCTAACCTACTTTAAAATCAGACTGCCCCTTTAAGTTGAATCCATCTTTTTGTGAATCATTATAAAGATTGTCTAGTTGATTATATCTGGTTATATCTGCTGTTGTAATCATGATAATATTTGTGACTTTCAGAAGTCCTGGTGGAACCCCATTATGTGATAATAAACGAAAACGTGAAAGTGGTGTAGGATTAACTCCAGTTATGACCAGAGCTTTAAAACGTAAATTCAGAGTAAGTACCTAGTAGACTAGTAATAAATTTAAACAAATGAAGGCCATAAACATTATAGCTTAAAGTTTACAGACTTTCTGTCGGGATGCTAATTGGTTGTATTCACCGACATACAATCCAATCAAATCGCTGCATTTACAAACTTTCTTGATAAAATTGCACATTATAGCTTGACATTCAATGCAATAAGAAGAACTGTATTTTCAATTGTGTCACCCTTTCACATGAGTACTCTTTTTTTTTTCAATTATCTTTTACATGTTACTGGATGGTATACCAATCATCTGACGTAAAACTCCATTCATTTCATTTCATTTATACCAATCACCAATGTCATAATGCTATAAACGGTATATTATATGATAACTTCACATTTTTCCAGCTAGCTAAACGTGAGAGTCTATCATCAGATGATGGAGGTTGTTCGAACCAGTCCAGTCCTAATGGTTCTATCTGTAACCAAACCATCAACTCATCAGCTGGTGATTTATCCTGGTCCTCACCGACAGATTCACCGACTAATTTCTCATTCTGTCGCGATGTGACGTCTCCGTTATCTGAAAGACTTTCTATTTCACCCAATATCACCACTTCCTCACCAAATCTTAGTAATCTGTAGTATAAATATCACCATATATTTCTATTTCTTTTAGCAACATATAGGGATACAGATCACATTACATAATGGAACACAATTTTATGGTTTACTACTCCTTAAGTTTTATTACACACTACGTTTCAACAATCATGTTTGATGATAAAAATGTAAATTGATGAAACATTGTGTACAATACAATTTGGGAGTAGTATATCATAAAATTGTGTTCCATTATTTAATTTTATGAGTATATTACTTTTATCAGCTGAAAAAGCTCATATTTATATTTACTTTACCAGTTGATAGAGCTCAATTTCAGCTATATTATATAGCCATCTGAATAGGTAATTTACTAACTTACGTCCCATATCATTATTGGATGCAGCCATTTCAAATTAATGTCATAAAATGTTATGTGATGTAGGTATATCCAACTGACATCATGAACTGTTGTCAAGTGGTCTACTCTGAGAGTTCCACAAGTGTACTGAAATATTCAGCTATACTGAAACTGCTAAGACTTGAGGAATGATAATGTGATGTAGCTATGTATTGTTATCATGTTCAGAGGTAAAAAATATAGACTCACTTTTATATTATTTCTTGAACTTATTTTAATTGTATCAAAATGTCTTTCAATTGTAAAAAGCTAGTTTTTCTTTTAATTTTTATTTCCTTTTTTTGTTGTTTTGTGTGTTAATTGTAACAGTTTTAAAGCAAACAATCTTTGCTTTGTTTTAAGGTTTAAGAATAAGATTTGCTCTTTAACATTTTAAAGGAGTAAAAGGACTAGAAATTACACTTTTGATAATATTGAATGACTTGAATACTCTTTTGAAAAGAATATGGCAATTGTGGTGCTTTACAGACAAATTGATACCATCCCATCTTCACAATGTCAAGCTATTACAAACTTTGTCTTATACTTTGACTGCAATAGCCACCTTTCTTGAATTACGGAAATTATTCTAAATGCATGGATTGTATGTTAACGAAAACAGCCAGAGCCCTTGACAGAAAGTCTGTTAACAATAAGTTAATATAGTCTATCTTTTGAGGGCTATGATTGATTGCATTTGCTGGCATACCAATCAAACCGCTGCAATCAGTGATACAGAAAAGGTGGCTATTACAATCAAGGTATAAGATACAATTTGTAATAAATTGCCATTGTGAAGATGATCCCATCCAATATTTTGCTCTTGTGAAAGATGGAAACCATCCTGAGTTGAAAAATATGTAGAATTTGGATTACATCAGCATATTTATTGGTTCAAAAAGACATAATATTCAAGATGGTTGAGACATAATTTTATCTTTCTTTTGTTTTATTAAGTTTCAGTTTTAAATTTTAGAGTTATTGCCCTTGCTATGTTATAATTAGTGCTACAAAATATGTAGACAGCTTTGTTTTTATTGTTAGTCATTTTTATTAGTAAAACTTTTCAAATGAATACTGAGTCATAGAAAAAAACAAATGGATGCCCCATCACCCTCTTGTAGAAAATCTGAAGATATCCTCACACCATATTGTTGCATATGGATGCAAATAAGAATAGCAGTTATAAGTTTGATGAATTGAGTAGTGAGTTGCATTCCATACTCATGACCACTCTCATTATTCACAACTAGTAATCCCTAGGGTGAGAGGGTACCGGTAACAGAATGTGCTCTGTTACACACTCTCAAGACCATTTAAGAAAAAAAAGCATGACATAAAGGAATTCTGGTACTAAGACACTGTATTTAAATAATTTATCAAGTGACATTTAGGGGTTGAGATCACATTAAATAACAACACAATTTTATGGTATGCTACCTGAACACTTCATTCTGATCTGAGCTAGGGTTAAATTTAGATTGAAAAATCAAATTGTAGATTAAATTTTGAACTGCGTTTCTTAAAGATCTGTTAGCAATTTAATATACTCAAGTAGAATACCTTCAAAAATACAATTTAATTTGATTCACAGATCGTTGTTACTGATTTTAATATTGGCTAATCAATGGAAATGTTGGCTCGCAAAAGGGGCCATTTTGAATTGCAAACTGTGATTCAATACCACTTAAAGTGAACCCTGATCTGAGCAATCTTGCTGCAAATACAACCTGAATGTTTTTACTGAGCTAAGCAATCTTGACAGTTGCAAATACAACCACATTGATTGTCCAAATGATAAACTGTAACCATCCACCGTTTACAAGTTAAACACCAATAATATCCAAATACTGTCTATGAAATGGGTTGAGTTGACACTCTGAATACATAACAATATAGCTACTTGGACTCTCTAAAAGACATGCTACTTGACAAAAGTATTACTTTGTTGACTAAAATAACATTACTGGATATAGGCCTGGACTGAAACATCTGTCTCTATTCCGGCCTCTGACAGCTACTCTGACAGTTACCAGTCAGTCAATATAGCAATCGAAGGCTGGAAGAGAGGCAAATGTTTTGATCAAGATAAAGGCCTAACTTACTGCATGGGACGTCCAGTGGGCAAAACAAAACAAAACATCAATTAAACAATAATAACAAGTATCTGAAGTTGACCAGCCCAGTCACACAGTGGGATGAGGTATAACATGTAATAATTAGTTAATAATATTGAGTTTACACAAGGGACAAGTTCTATTATGGACTAACCACGGATCAACACATCTGGTATGATACTGATGATTACAAGGAAGCACTCGTAACTTCTGAAAATAAAAATCATAACAATTATACCATATATGATTTTCCTTTTTTATTAACATGAAAACATATTTAAACACAACTTTAACCTTGTGCCAGTGCCTTCTGTTGAATAGTGACTAGTTGCTTGTCAATATTAACTGGTTTCTAGTCAACCACCCTAATCACTTACACTATTACATATTACTGAACCTCGAAATATTGTCTTGGCCTACAATTTTTTTCATTTTTTTTTTTCATTTAGTGTATTGTCCCAATGGGTTGAATGTTAGACAGGACAATGTCCGTGTGTATTAGACCTAATTATTACTCATATACAATAGAGTTTATTATTATTATTAATTGTCTGAGTGGAAAATAAAGAGAGCTATGAAACTGAGTCAGGAAACAAAAGGAGAGATAAAAGTCATCGATTTAGGCATGTACATTCTCTTACTGTTGGAACATCTAAATAAAATTATAGATTACAATTTTGTTTCTTTTTTCTTTTTGTGCTTATTGTCACAAACTGTAATCTAACAAGTTTTCTATTACAGTACCTTGGGGCCTACATGCTTCAATCAAAATTGTAATAGACTGTTTTAGAAGCATTTATCTGTTAAACTTGTGAACATCCTATTATAATGGTGCGGGCACACGCGCTGTATATCGTCGCCGATTAGAGTCTCGAGTAAAATCGTGTGTGTGCCCATGCTTACACGACAAGATTATCGTGTCTCCTGCAGGATTTATAATATCAAACAAGTTTGATAATTGTCTCAGATAGTTTTATCGTCTGCAAGACAGACCATCACTATCCAAACAGATTCATTTTCCTTTCAATTGCATGCTCCACGCGTGATTAATAACATGGTGGAAAGGACCAACTGGTGATTTTTGTCTCCTCATGTACCCATGCCAGTTAGGGAAACTCTTGACAAGATTCTATTCGGTGACAATATTTTCTGTTCTGAAAAGAGATTCTTACCTGTTTGGAGTAGAATATTTCTAGACATATTGCACAGAGATCAGATTCCTCCGTCTGACCCGTATTTTTTATCACATATTTCTTCGTCTGCATCACAGAGATCGCTTGATGAGCTAACTTACGCATGGAGGACTATAAGATAAAAAGATAGCTTGGTGAGCTTATTGAAACAATGGAGTTTTATGTTCTACTCTTCTGCATTGGGCTAATGAAGACAGGATTGAAGGTACTATCTCAACCTATGACGGGATTGAACCCTGGACCTTTAGGTGTCTAATTCAATAAGTCGCCATGGTTCCCTTAAGAGAAGAGTATCCTACCTCTAGATGGGGATCTCCCCATTCTCCATCTATTCTGTAACTTTTAAACACAATCATCATCATCATTAGAAACAGGAAAGTGTAGAAACAATTCCAGAATGTTCCAGGGTTTGTTTTTCCGTTTGGTAATGTTTCTGCACCCAGGCAGACAACTCCCATATCTCCACTGCTTCTCCCACATGTAGCCCACATCGTTAGGGTTGGAAATTTCTTCAAATCAAATATTGATCCAAAATGAGATAGTGTACTAAAAATCTGTACAAGCAGGATAATTCCATTTATCAAAATCTTGTTTAAAGAATGGCAAAATCAAGAGTAAAAGTTGTATAGTAGTGGACTCTTCCAAAGCAAAGTACCATCAGGTGTTTCCATAAGAGTAAGCCATGTTACTCTTATTCAGCAATTCTGACTTAATTTTTTTCAAAGATTTAGACAAAAGAGAAGTGACATACTTACAACAAGGCCCTGTTTTGATGAATTAAATATCACTTTGGCATTTATTTTGATTTTACTGAAAAACATAGAATTTGGGTCTTGAATATATAGTCTTTAGAAGGTACTAGAAATGTACTGAAATCGTATAATACCTTCAAAAATATCTAGAACCAGGAATTTCTATATCTATACATGTATATATAGAAATTTTATATATGGCAGTATATCAAGAAAAGACGACTCGTGTTTTTATCATTCAAACGAATACTTCTGGATACACATGGATTTGAAGGCTCAAATTTCAATGGTAGCTGTGAGCTTCTGAGACTTTGATACGATTGGTCAAACGGATTACAACCCTTCACCCCAATAGACTTTAAATTTACTTCCCTCAAGAGATAGAGAGTTGGAGTGGGGAAGGAGGGTATATTCACAAAAAAAGATTTTCTCACCTCATAAGTAATGTAAGTATGGAGGTAATATTGGTTTCATCTTGTATTAAAACTACCGGAATAGAAAACATCTGACCCACATCCAATTCTCGAACTAGTTGTTGATTTAACGTTAATATTATTATAGCTGATGCTCCAAACATTATCGCTTTCTTTACCTGGAAGACAAAATACAAAAATATCAAACTGTATAAAAACAAAAAACAACTTTTTGATGTTTATTTGTGAGAAGGTCTTTGGGAATTATCTTTTTAATTATGAATTAATTATAGACTTGTGAGACAAACTGGTATTTTTGAATTCCTGCAATTCCACTAAAACTGAGTGTTTGATGACGTCACTGATGGCAAAGGTCTCATGCGATGCAAGCAAATTTCGCGATTAGTGACGTCATCATACACTTAGGTTTAGTTGAATAGCAGGAATGACAGACGGCTGATTGAAAATTGGAAAAGTGCAAATTGATGCTATCAGTGTCCCCCGATACAAATGAAATAATTCATAAAATCTCTTTAGGATCCCTTTAACTATGATTCCACAATGACATATAATTATAATTCAGTCTTACCCTGTCCATTACTCCAAGACAATCGGTAGTTCTATCACTGTTACTATTAATAGTATCAGTAGTATGAGAGGAGTAATGGTAGACTCCAATCCAATTTAACGGTAGCCTTGCAAACCCCTTTTCATCTTCCACGCCACATTCATCTGATATCTGAAAGAAAAATAAGTCACAAATAGGTCCAGGGTGCAATTTTGACGTGGGTAAAAATAATAGTTTCGTATTTTTACACCAGTTTTCCTGTCAGTATGATACAAGGAAGTCGTTCAATTGTTCAGATGAAGCAACAGAATTCAATGCTTCAATTTTAATTTTTTTATTATGTTTGGCTTTTATAATTCATGATAGCTTTAAATTAAGCAACAGAGATGTTATGCAACAAAAAGTCACAAAGTAGCCTATTCTTTCAAGCAACTTACGAGAGCAAGGGCAATAGATCTATAATCATGATAAAATACTTTTCAAATTTAGATAAACCCTACCATATGCAGTCGACCCGATGCCTTCTCAACTTTTCCAGCAGACGAAAACCAGCCTTTGATGTAAGCTGTCAAACTGGAAATGTCAAAATCTTCGACCGTGTTCGACTGACGCTTCTGAAATTGAGTTTTTCGTTCTTTTGACATCTCCACGAAAGCAACAGTGTCGCTTAGGGCAAGGACGGGTACAGTAGACGAACACAAGACCATAATTGCGACCAGCAATCCATTCTTTTCGTGGCATTTCAAAAACAGAAACAAAATTTGCAGAAAAAGCCAGTCGATACCCGCCATGTTTGTTTACGTTTTAGTCATAGGGATTCGAGAAAAAATCTTCATCTTGTCCGAATTTCAGTTTCATCGCATAATGACAGCATTTAGATTAAAATGTGCACATGCATCATCGCATTCATAAGGAGGGACAAAAAATTCGTTTGGAATTCTTCCAATTATCAAAAGTCATCAATCTGAACCCAGAACATTTTTATCTCTACCGGTCCCTGTGGTTATTCAATTATCCCTGGATAATATTTCTACACTATTATAGACTTAATCTTCAAGTCAAAACAGAGCCATGACAGATAGCATCACTAATGTCTTTTATTATAGATCAGTGAATAGCATGGAATAAATAATGATAAATTTCGCAATGTAATTGTATCGATATCTCATCAAAGGCCTACAAATCTGTGAGGGGCGGTGTGCTGCATTCTGAATGTAGGGGGTAGTTCGATAAGATTGTGAGATGAGACAGATTTTTTTTTCTGGGGATGAGGTTTTGCTTTTCAACCCCAAAGATTTTGCAAGTTCTCGCTGTCAAGGAAACCCACTGTTAGTATGTCTATTCAAATTTGTGGAATAAACAAATTTAATTTTTGAACAAAATTTTTCATCCCCATTTCAATATCAAGGCACTCTAGATTTAAAACTGATAGTTGATTTCTTGATGGGAAGCTTCTCTACTCAGTTCCTTAGATGTGATATATAAACATCTGTTTCATGTCTTCAAACTGGTTCACAATGTCAAGCTATTAAGAACTGTGTCTAATACATGCTGCAATAAACATTTCTTTTGTATCATAGAAGTTTGTATAAATATTTGAATTGATTGGATTATAATGGATAATAAATCATTATTAACAATTTCTTTGTGGGATGCAATTGGGGGTTTTGATTGGCTTATTGGCTAGCGTACAATCGAAATCAAATCGCTGCATTCTGTGATGCAAGAAAGCCAAGATGTCTATTGCAGGCAAGATATAAGACAAAGTTAGTAATAATTTGACATTGTGAAGGAGGACTTGTTGGGCAAGTAATCAATATAAGTGAAAGACTTTGATTGTTGATTGATTGTTTCTATTTTTAAACCAATTCAATCACCTTTACAGTGCCCTGGCTATTAGCAGCTACTACCACATTAGAGTTTGGTTTCCATGTTACAGCACTAACAAACTCTTTGTGATCTTCTGGTTTTCTGCTATCTTTTTCTAGTAAATTGGAATCAAATTTAAATGTCATTAATTCTTTAGCTAAACCCTTGTAATAGAAATATAGCGCATGGTTTTCACTACCACAAGTTATATAGTCCCCATCTGTAGCCAATCCAACAAAATTCTTCTCATTCGTATGCCCTTCAAATGTCCTTTTAGAAAAGGAATGAGATATATCCCATAATTTTAACTGGCTGTCTGTTGAAGCAGAAACTATTTCTGTACTGTTCAGAAATTTAACATAAGAAACAGCTTTTTTATGTTCACTAAATACTGCTAGTGCCTGTTTAGTATTTCGTAAATCATAATAATGAACATTGTGATCTGCTGAACCAAAGGCTAGATGGTATCTGCTTTGTGGGTTAAACTTAACACAACAAACATTAGCATTAGCTTCTATATTAGCGATGGAATGTTCGTTATTCGTTGACCATAGTTTCACTTTAGCATCATCTGAAGCAGAAGCTATTAATTTAGGATCCATTCCATTAAAATCGACGCTCCAACATCTTTTCTCGTGTTCCTGAAATTTTTTAGTTTTTTTGTTTGTATTGACATCCCATAAAGTAACTGTGCCTTCATAGTCTGAACTGGCCAATACATTCTTATAATAGGTGCTCCATGTTACACAGCTGATTTTGGAGTTGCACATCATTTCTAACATAGGATAATGAATGTCCACAGCATCCTTAATGACAACACCATATTCGTAGATCTTAATTTTTTTTGTAACTCCAGCGATAGCAAAATAGTCACAGTCTCGATCGAACTCTATACTGGATACAATACAAGAAGCACCGTATAAATCTACAGAGTAATTTAAAGTGGCTAAGGGTCTGCACGAAGAGAATCTGAAAAACTTTGATAAACTCTCTGTAAATTCTTCTAGCCCTGCGTTACTCCCGTTATCAACTCCAGTCACCTCCTTTACACGAACAGAGAAGTAACATTGTTCTAAATCATTAAAATGATCACTTAATTTCTTTCTTCGGGAGGCTAGCGATGGTTGAAGCAAGACTTTATCTACATTTTTACTTCCATTGAAGCCATCTTGATTTGTTTCTGTGGAGTCTGATGCTTCTGCAAAAACTCGGCCAACATCAAAACCACTTGGTACTAGATGATCAGGGCAGTATTTCTGGTTATATTCACTTATATCATCATCCACCTTGGTAATGTCACTTTCTAAAACTTCTATTTCACTTTTTATCTGCTTTAACTTCATTTCCTTTCGTTCTTTAATTTGTTGCAGAAATTCTTTCAAAATAAAAGTCTCTACCACTTTGCCATCCGCTTCCAACTTGTGTTTTTTCTGTACTAGAAGATCCAAGAGGTTATTCACATCTCCAATACCCACTTCCTTTTCATTAATCAATTCTCGCAAGTTATTGTAAGTTGATGAGTCGCTGCCTACTTCTTGCGCTTTGGATGTGGACTGTTCACACTTATTTCTTTTACCAGCAGACTTGTCTTCTTTATACTTCAGTATCATATCATTTAATGTGAAATTTGGGAATATTTGAGCAGGATTTTCTATTGAACGATAACATTTTGGACATCTATTACTTCTCTCCAAACTCTGTTTTATGCATCGAAAACAAAAGGAATGGCCACATTTCGTCATATGTGCTTCATCTATGATCTCAAAACATATAGGGCATGCATAGTCATTGTCTTTATCTTTGAAGCTACTACTTGTACCACCGAATACTGGTGGATGGGGTCTTTTACGTCTTGATGTCTGTGGCAAACGCCCACGACCTGCCATCTTCAACTGCAGCCTGACCTGGATTGAAGCCTCAATGACTTATCTTTGAATGCATGACTTCATTAGGTTAGCAGTATGTAAGAGGTTACAGTGCTGGGCTCTGTCTGCAAAAATGCTGGTAGTTAGTGGATAACGTTCGCTTTTAGCTAACAGACATCGCAGTAAAATGTAACTTGCAAAGTTTATAAACAAATCAAATTCACGTAAATTCTCGCGAGAAATAACATGACACAGTAAATGATAATATTACGGATTGAACGAGGACTATGGAAATGAATGATTGAATTTTGATTAGGGACCGTGTATTAATGTAAAAACTTATATTATAGATTTGAATCAAGTATAAAATGAAAGATATTGATTCAGCCATTGCTGATTGCTTTGTTCTCAATTAGACCCGGATGTGCACATAGGTCATAGACAGTGCCGTTCTTAGGGGTGGTCCACTGGGCCATGCCCCCTCCCCCTCTGGACTGTGAAAGGTCAATGGCATTTAATGAATTTTTCCATGTCATTTTTTTAACTTTCATGGTGGACCGTTTGTATATTTTGGTCGTTAATTTCAAAGCTGTTCTGGGGTAAAATGTTGAGAATTTGGGAAGAAAAAATTGTCTTGTGAGAAAACACCAAAAATCAGATTTTCCTTTTTTTAAATAATTTAATGCATCACAACTTTCTGTTCACCATCTTTAATTCTTTAATATAACAAGCATGTGACTACATAATTGGAATTACGAGTCAAACAAAAGGGATGCAATTATGGGATTGTATACACTTTCTTACACTTATTCATGTATACGGAGGGCCCAGTAAAGTGGCCAGATTCAGTCTGTTTTGCAGAATATTTCAAGCACCATAATGTATATCTTATCATTAGCACCCTTTGTCTGGTAATACCAATACAAATACACATGTAAATTCCAAGTTCCAATCAGATTTGATAGGCAAATAATCCCATATTTAGAGACAACTTTAAAATGATAACAGTTTACAGGCCAATATAACAACCATTCAACTCAATTTGTGTGATCTCCTATTTGATTTACATCCGATTAAAAGTGATTTGATTATTTGCTAAATACATGATTTATACAACATTAAATCAGATAATTGACTTAGTCTGTGTCTGAAAAGAGATTTTAGCACTCCAAAGACTTTCAAAATGCTATATGGTAGCATTTCTATAGAGATAAGACAGTTTTTGTGATATTTTCAATCTTCACAAGATCTTCTCACACTCATTTCCTGAAAATACAAAAAATATATTTACTAGATAGACCTGAAAAACATAATCACTGAAATTTTGACAAGACCAAGTTTTTTGTCATAAAAAATGAGTAAAGAGTCTTTTTTTTTTAACCCATTCGTTGGCTCTAATTACAACATAAATCTCCATGTGATTATGTTTTGGTTATTTTGAAATGATATGAAATGAATGGAGTTTTACTTTTCTGCACCATGTGGGCTAATGAAGACAGGCAACGCCTTGCAGGGTGCAATGAGGGAAATTTTTGCCAGAACAGCGGCATTTGTCTGCTCTTTTTCGATTTACAACTGTGGAGGGATCATGAATGTGCACAGTCTGTAGCACACTGGGGTTGGTTATTTTGAAGATAAAGCTATAAGAGAAAATGAAAGTGTAACCTATCCTACCCAGGAATATAATAATGATGATAAAGAATATTTATTAGACATGTTTAACAGAGACTGCTCCAAATGTTTCTGAATATTCTGGAAAAATGGCGTTGAATCTGAAAAATAAATTAAAAAAATTACTATGATAATATCCAATGAGGAAAGGGGGGGAGAGGAGGGGAGAGGAGGGAAATGACACTCAAGTACAGGGAACACTGTTCAAAATGATAGAAAACATGATTGGCACTTTATTCAAGTATTGAGAAGGTTATATAGTAAAGTGAAGAGGCTGAAATCAGTCTGTTTTGGCAACATCCAATTATCTATATTGATATTACTTTAGATAGACCAATGACCATCATGAACAAAAGGCAAACACTTTCTTCAGAAAAAAATATAAAAAATCTTACTGTATCCTTCAGATTCTGTGTCACATTCTGGGGTACCCTGGGGGTAAGTTTTGGGAATTTTTACTATTAATGGAGGAACACTAGGGAGATTTTTATCATCTGAAAAAAAAAACAACATCATAACAAAAAGATTTCTTGTCTCATTTACTTGCTTTTGGCTTTAACTAATTAAGCAATTAATTAAGCAGAATAATCAAAAGCAGTAGAAACCTGACAACATTGGTAGATTACATGTAAGCCTAAAACACCTAATCACCTAACAAACAACAATCAAACTCACTACAGACTGAGCTATTTGACTGTCAGGAGTTTTACACCCTACTTTTCTGCACCTTGTGGGCTATTGAAGACAGGAATTTAGGATGAGAATAACTTACCTAATTTACAAATCAAATGAACAGAAGTGTTACTAGAATGTTGTAGACTGTCCACACTGATATGAAATCTAGAGTGTAGACGAGCTATTTCACCCTGTAAAACGTTAGATAATCCTTCTTTTTTATCTTCTTCTAATTTTCTACGTTTTTTACAAGGTTCTACTGGAGCTCTGAAATCAAAGATTTTAATAACTTTTCATGAACCATATCAGAATGGTGTGAATAGAAACTATAAATGTTTCCAATATACAAAGAAGTAAGAAATAAAAATCGAATCATGATATTTTACCAGAGTTTCTTTGTATTATGGTTAAAGGGACATTCTGCAAAATTTTTATTATCAAAAGCGTTGCGAATCATACAGAAAAATAGTATTTAAAAAAATGCTATTTATATCTATGTATCTTCTTAATCAGACTGAATTTGTTTTAAAATGGGTTCATTAAAAACAGATAGTATAAAGTGTGAAGCAGTTTGACCTAGTTTCAATGTTAGACCTCATATAGATTTATTATTACTAGTTAAATCCTTTAGAATATATAGGAGACATATTTCTCTACAATTAAGCGTTTAGAGTAAAGATGCAAACTTACTTTATAGCAGGTCCAAAAAAGGCTGAAATTGCTGGACCAAATGTTCTCTGTAGACTATGATTAATACTAGGTGACTGGATATTAGAGGCTATAGACTCGTACAATGATTCAAATACACTGGAAGATGTTTGCGGTTGAGATTGGGTCACCTGAATTAAAACACTGGATATAAGAGACTATATATTTTCAAACAGTAATTATTTGATGTGAGCACAATATAGAAAGAGCCACAAAACTGGTGTCTTTAATCCTCTGACAGCTTCCGACAGATCACTTTGATAAGAACATTCCAACTTTTTATTGCAACCAGCATCATGAAAACGTTCTTTTCAAGTCAAGATTACCAAGTCTCAAAAAGATCTATCAGAGACAGGTTCACCTTCCTAGCTTAGTCACAGGTAAATCTATTAGGATCATCTATAATTACTTACATGTTTTCCCATTTTTTCTAAAACAATTTCACATTTTTCTAGTGTAGCATACGTCACCCTAAAATAAACAAAGAATGAAAATATCATTGAGGTAGATCAAGATCTCTTCATTTTATCATATTTTTCAGATCCAAACTCTATGTACTTAAAGGCTTTGGTTGGATCAAAGTCAATGCTCTGAGGCACTGGTCTGGAGACATTCTTAAACAAATGACATGCAATATTTGTGAAATGATGAGATAAAATTAAATTCTGAGCACACTGTGGTCCGAGAGCTGTATAATAATCTCACCTTTTGGTCGGGTCAGTTAAAATGTCTAGTAAATTTTTCATTTTTAAATGTTCCAGTTTCTGACCTATACAATATAAACATAGGTCATTATTGAGTATTCCCCCTGTACCCTCACTGTCTTGGGGTCCCTAAGTATTTGTCATATCTCAGTGACTTTTTATATACTTTTTGACAGTCTGAAAATTAGACCAAATTTCATTCCATTCTTTTAATAGTTTTTATTTTTTATTCAGCCACTTCAGCTAAGGTCTAAAGACCCTGCTCTTTATCATTCATCTATTTGATGACACTGCCAGCAAATCAAATATCTTCCCTCTGCAGCTCTGGGATTTTGCCAGTCAATCAAATATCTTCCCTCTCCAACTCAGGGATTTTGCCAGCCAATCAAAAACCATCCCTCTCTAAATCTTAGATTTTGCCAGTCAATCAAATTTCTTCCCTCTCCAACTCTGGGACTTTGTGACACAAACAAAAGGTGAAAACCAAGAAGCATTTGAAAAGTTCGTCAACTGAATACATTTTTTGTTTGAATCACAAAATCTCAGCATTGAAGAGGGAAGAAATTTTATTGGCTGACAGTGTTTTCAAATGGTAGAACGGCACGGTTAGACCCTAACTGGTTAGTCCAGAATTATCCAGGATCAAAAGGCTAGAAATCAGAATATTTCTAGAGAATTTAAAGAAGTTTTTGATCAAAATGTCATTACATACTTTCATCTTTTTCCAAGCGATCCACCATTTTACTGAGTGGGCCGACATATTTTGATAATTGTTGTAGTTTCTCCATATAAATCTGCTCATCATTGATGCGTTGGTTACTGGGACTAGGGGCTGCCCCTACTGAACCTGGGTTACCTGGCAACGGATAATACAATATTTTTTAATGACCTTCCTGTACATCATTGATTTTTCCTCTCTGAAGTATTTGCTTAACAGACAATTGCTTAATAGACAGGGCCTTTCTTTGTCAAGAAATCTTTTTTTTTAAATTAGAATGCTGAACTATTTTTCTCAATTACAAAAAAGTCTTACAATCAATTTTAACTATGAATCCAAATAAACAATCTCATTGTTGTCTATGTTTTAAAACCCTACATTATTCTAGTGTCAGGCAAATGCATAAACACACAATTCAAAAATGTCCAACAATACATACCTGGTGTGTTCAAGGCTGCACCAGGGGAGAGCACTCCAACTGCACCACGATTAACAGGAGAAGGGGCGACCATTGATTGTGGTGAGGGAGCTGTGAATACAGCTGGGGAACTGGAATAGTAAATATCATCATGATGAAACACATTACAATATCAAATCAATGGAGTTAACACTAGTCTTCTTCTTCATTTAAGGAGAGGTGAAAACTTGTGAGAGATTAGTGGGATGAAAGATTATTTACCAACTATTTTGAGAGGGGAGGAGGAGTGGAGTAGGAGAAGGGAGAGGATAAAACATGTGTTGATGGGTGATGGGTCTTGTAACTTCCCAAATTTGAGCAGGAGATGGTACTTGTTGGACTTGCTACTTACCAAATTTGAGCAGGAGATGGTACTTGTGACATATGCTGTGGCATCTGAGGAACTTGTCTCTGCATCGTTTGAGGTTGACTTTGAAACGGCAACTAAAACAATGTACAAATGGATGAACAAAAGACAGCTTGCCAGGCAAGGTAAAACAAGCCATCTTGAAGCTTTGTTTCAATTGCAATATTTGGAAGAAAGGCAAACATCGCTTCCAAGAAATATTGGAACTTTTAGGTTTTTGATAGGGTGATCATAAACAATTTCACAAAGTTTTGTCAAAATCTGTCAAGATTTGTGTCTTTTAGGCCTTTTTGTGCAATTCTACACAGGCAGAGGGAAGGACATTTTATCCTTTCTTATCATTCAAGGAAAATGATATAGTATCTGACCTGATAGCTAGACATTTTAGTTGATTAGTTTCAAATGTTTGAGAGGAGTATATACAAAGTCTACCAAAACTGGCTCATATTAGTTACAAAGATGTCCGGCATAAATCAAGCATGTCTAGCGAAAACAACCAAATCAGGCCCTACTTACATTAGCAGCTGAAGCCGGCAATGGTTGACTCTGTACAGGGTTTGTTTGAGGTGACGTCACAATGAAAGCATCTTGTCTCTGAAATTATAAATCAATATCATAATGAAACCTTGAAAACGTCATGGTTTATAAAGACTGGCAATAAAATGTAGTGTACAAAAGGGAAATTTTGACAGAACTGCAGCAGAATTTTTCACTCTCAATAATACAACCTAATTAAAGTAAAATTATCACTTAAGATAAACTTGAAAACATCTTGACCAGTATAGGGGTAATGAAGGTGACAATGCATTGTAGTGTACAATGAGGAAAGTTTTCAATGAAAGTGGCAGAAGCCTACTGTTTATCAATTTTAACAATAATATCTACAACCCCATCCATCCACATTATCACTCTGGATCTGATAATCTTGAAAACATCTTGACCAGTATAGGGTTAATGAAAATGGGCAATGCCATGTAGTGTACAAGAAATTTTGTGATGATATAAGCCTACAGCCCTTCCAAACAAATGGTCCAATACTAACCTGTAGTTGAGGTTTTTGTTGCTGCATCTGTTGCTGTTGGAAACGAATCTGAGCAGCAGACATCTGCATTGGTCGATGTTGCATCATGTGTGGCATTCCTAAAAAGACGAGAAAATCATTTTTAGTAATTCTTAAACACAAAAAGCTGACACATTTCTTCATATTTTCAACACATCTAAAAATATTACATATTTCTATAGCGTTTCGGTATTAGGGACTCAGATAATAAATATTCATGATTTTAGAAGATTTTAAACAGGCCAATCAACATGCTGCTACGTACAATTTGTTTTGTAAATATGAAACATGAATATAACATGAGTACTGGCAAGCCCTTTCACACGAAAAAGATTGTTTTGATTTTAATCCGCTGCATCATGCAAAGCTATTTGGATAATATGAACCAAGTTCCCATCTAGTAATTGAGAAGCCAGTATGTGTTGAAATTCAATAGCATTTTTGGTTTTTCTTTCAACCAATTGCTGCTGCAATTTTTGAAATTTCTTAATAGAAATAAGCTTATATACATATAATATGAAATTGGTTAAAAAAAACTAAAAACTTACCTTGTTGTTGTTGTTGCATGGGTCTGGTCAAGTTGGTTAAAGCATTGATCGGGTCCTGGATGGGTCGTCCAGCCATTTGGGGGTTCATTTGACCCATCTGTCTACCCGCAGGCTGACCCATCATCATCTGTTGTTGTTGTCTGGGTTGCTGTTTATCTTTATCTACAAACAAACGAGACGGCAATATGGGTTGAAAGTTGACAATAGGGCAACTCTCGAAAGCACTGGCCAGGGAAATCAATCAATTCAGCTAAGCTTAGCAAATATGAAGTCCCATCAATTTCATAAAACCTTCTAAGGTGCTCAAGAATCTTGTCTACCAGCTGGTACTTGATCAAACCTCTTGGCAGTGATTTTACCCAAGGACACTTGTAATCTTTTCCTTTGGTCCATTAGTGTTGAAGATTAGATTAGTCTTAAAGATAAATACTAGACTATAACTAAATTATAATAATTTCAAACAAACATATATATATATATATATACCAACTAAATATTACCAAGTTGTGCAAAAACAAAATATTTTTACTGCTAAAATAGTGCTCAATACATCAATTGTAGAGCGATATAGAAATACCACTGTTAAAATAGTGCTCAATACATCAATTGTAGAGCGATATAGAAATACTACTGTTAAAATAGTGCTCAATACATCAATTGTAGAGCGATATAGAAATACCACTGTTAAAATAGTGCTCAATACATCAATTGTAGAGCTATATAGAAATACTACTGTTAAAATAGTACTCAATACATCAATTGTAGAGCGATATAGAAATACCACTGTTAAAATAGTGCTCAATACATCAATTGTAGAGCTATATAGAAATACTACTGTTAAAATAGTGCTCAATACATCAATTGTAGAGCTATATAGAAATACTACTGTTAAAATAGTGCTCAATACATCAATTGTAGAGCGATATAGAAATACCACTGTTAAAATAGTGCTCAATACATCAATTGTAGAGCTATATAGAAATACTACTGTTAAAATAGTACTCAATACATCAATTGTAGAGCAATATAGAAATACCACTGTTAAAATAGTGCTCAATACATCAATTGTAGAGCTATGTAGAAATACTACTGTTAAAATAGTACTCAATACATCAATTGTAGAGCGATATAGAAATACTACTGTTAA